TACTCCTTTTTTTTTTGTAAAAATAGTTGGGGATCGATTTTTTTTTTTTTAAAATATAAAAAAGAAGGCGGGGACCCTTCATATGCTAACTTTTTTTCAAGACTCCACATCCCTATCGATTTACGATTATTCTTTTAAGTGATATTATTGTTTCAGATTTTTAATCATCTGAATTTTTAGAGTCTTCATCGTACATAAAAACTGCTCAATTTTTCCCCAATTCTCCATTTTTCAATATGATTGATGTTGTACATTCTGTAAATCTTGACCAACGTCTTGATTTCCCTCACGATCAATATTTTCCTAATAATACACCTGCTACTATCGCTACCACCACGCCTGTTCAAGCGTCTTTTGGTTTCGATTTACCAGGTGAACTTACTCAATCAACTTCTTGCGTCAATAATTTTTTCGAAATACCAAATTGGACGCTCATTGCTGCAATGACATTTCAATTATCAGACCAGGATATAAATATTAATAACTCACCTCAATCGAACGTTTCGACTTCCCAACAACAAAATTCGCGACAATATAACGATATGACCGCTACCGCTTTTTCTAATCAACACCAATATTCTCACGATTCCTCGGTTCAACAAACTTCTATTTTACCTTCCCCTCCTTTTGTTGAACCTTCAGGAAATTATATCGCGATTTCATCAGCTACTAATAATACTCAAACTTTACCTTATGGTTATCCTTCTTCAACTTTACCAACATCTAATACATTAACTAATAATTTGGATACTGGTAATCATATTGGTAATAATTACTCAATCAATTCTCGTAACGCTTATACAACTCAACAACAACAACATCATCAACATCAACAACAACAACATCAACAACAACAACATCAACAACAACAACATCAACAACATCATCATCATCAACAACAACAACAACCACAACAACCACAACAACAACCATCTCGTATCGAAATTACAAATCAATTAATTTCAGGTTATAATTTTAATCCAAATCAATGTTATCAAACTTCGATTCCTTCCTCTATTGGCAATAATTCACAACATCATGGTAATCATCAAAAATCGAGATCTATTAATAATTTTTCTCGTCAAGATGCTACAACAAATTTACCTATTAGTATAGCTCCAAATTTGTTTATGCAACAATTTAATAATCAATCAAGTAATGGTTCAACAATGTTAGTACCATTATATGATCCTTCTACAATTTTTACGGCCAAACCTAATCCTACTCCCACTCCTACTCCTACTCCCGTTTCAACAACGATTTCTATTTCACAAAATTCCACCCCTACTTCTGAAAGTACTTCACCAATAAAACAGACATACTCATATAGTGGACCTCCAAAGAGTTATTATTCAAGATTACCATTATATGACAGACCTTTCAAATGTGATCAGTGCCCTCAAAGTAAGTATCATCATTTTTATTTTTTTTTTTATCTTTATCTTTGTTAATTTAGTTAGAGACTTACCAAAAAAAATTTTTTTTTTTATATTAGGTTTTAACCGGAACCACGACCTCAAGCGGCACAAAAGGATCCATTTGGCCGTGAAACCTTATCCTTGCCAATATTGTGAAAAACAATTCAGTCGAAAGGACGCGCTTAAAAGGCACGTCCTTGTTAAGGGCTGTAACAATACATCGAATAAGAAATCAACTTCGTCTAATAATAATAACGGTAATAATAACAACAATAATAAAAATGTTATTGAATCGTCATCAAATTCTTCGATTTCTACAACAACAATAGAAAATTATGTTGATAATGGAGATTCGATAAAGACCGAACCAACAAACGATAATGGTTTTGGGATTTCGATATAATTGAACCTTTTTTTATGAAAAAAATAATCGTTTAAATATAAAAAATTAAAAAAATTAAAATTTATGCGTCAAAATAATTTTTCCCGATTAGATTTTTTTTTTATGAATTTCTAAGTCACCTCTATAATTAATTCGCATTACGTATATAATATGTCTCTTATACACATCTAGATGTGTATAAGAGACAGTATATAGGGTTCGTATTTCTTTTTTATGATATATATATAAGAGGTTTTTTACCAGCCAATTAAAAAATTATACAAAATACACACACATATATATATATATAATCAATCACATTATGATTTTGAAAATTAGTATACTATAAATAGTTTTTTTTTTCGTTTAAGAAAAAATTTAAAATAATGTTAACATTTTATGAAAAAAAATCAGTATTATAAAAAAAAAATAATAATAAAAAAATAATAAAAATATAATAAAAATATAATACTAAAAAAAAAACTCTCATTTTCGTCTAATTATAATTGATACATAAAACGGAAAACAGTATATATGTACACATGTCATAATTCGGAATTGATATATATGAATTACATATATACGTACACGTATCATAATTACATATGAATTACATATAATATTAACACGTACACATATAATACAATACATAATTCGGAAAACAGTATATATTATATACTAAATGTGTAATAAATGTTAACAAAAATAACTAAATCAATCTGTATTCGATCTTTTCGTGTAATGTGGTTCCGAGTTCCGGAATGGGTCGGAACTTTATTATATTTACAAACCACTTTTTCCATATTGTTGCAATTAAAAAATTAAAAAATTTAACTACAATATAAAATTATAATAGATAAAACAAAAGATTTCACTTGGCGGAATTGTTGTTTAGATTGTTTTATATAAAATTATATTTAATCTACTTTAATTGGATCTGAAAAAAAAATTTTTTTTTTTTTTTTTTTTTTTTTGTGATTAATTAGATTTATGATTAGTAATTATTAAAAAAAAAAGGCCTATTGTTTTGACTGGGAATTTTTTTAATTGGAACCTTTTTTTTGAAGACAAAGTTAATAAAGAAATTCATTAAAATTAGTGAATTACCATAAGTAACATAGTGAATTTTTTGATCGGCAACTCAAGTTATGCTTTGTATGGATAATTAAATGGTTTATAGTAAATTCTAGTTGGTTCCTTAACGCCGAACTATTTTAGTAAATTTTGTGAAACATTTAACAAGGATTAATCAAAGTTATCGGATAAAACGGACGTTTATCCGATAGACCGATACACGCAGTTGGTAACACACCATTATAATTGAATTGGGCAATACTAGATCTTTTACTTGATTATTTCTAGAATCACATTTTTTCTATTTGTACTACAATTAAAAATAATGAAATTCAAAAAAAAAAAAAAAAAATTCATTATTGTTAAACATGATTTTTGGCGGGTTTTTTTGTGAAACTAAACTATAATGCAATATAAACTATATATTTAAATATAATTTTATATAATTATATGGCTTACAAAGATTTGAACATGAGAGATTAACAAGCTATTCTGAGTCACATTGAAATATGCGGTTTGGCTGGTTTTTTAAAAAAACGCAAACGCACTAGGAACAATAAAAAAAAATTCATATCGCAAATTATCGCATGATGGAAGGATGAAAAAGAATAAATTTTTTTGCTGACAAAAAATTTTGTAATCTACTTTTTTAGTAATGGCCGTAGAATTTAATATTTTTTAACTATACTCCAAAGAAAGGCGTAAAAAGGTGGGGAAAAAAAAAATATTTTTTTTTTTTTTTATTATTATTATTATTATTTTTTCGAACGAATATTTTAGGAAATTTTTTTTAGTAAAGGCAAGTTCCAGGACGCAGTTCGAATGTTCTATTGTTTATCATATTTCAAATGGCACATTTTTTTTTCGCAATTATCCCCAATTTTTAATTTGTTTAGAATATCAAAATTGGTAAACTGGTAAATTGTCGAAGACAATATAAAGATAATTTTATTGGATAAATGAAATGGTTTGATACTTTTTCTTTACCAAAAATCGGAAAACATTAATGTTTGAAAAAAGAAATTAGTCAGCGGCGGTGTAAAAAAAAATATGCCGGTGTAACAAAACGGAGGTTTCCGTTTTGTGAATAGATTTTCCTTTTTTGAAACTAATAAAAAAAAATGTGTTCCAAAGATTTGGTACATTATTTTATATATTTAGCTGCTTACCAAGGATTATGAAATATAATGTAATCAAAAGGGTTCAAAATAACAACAATATAGTTAAATTTTTCATTGACCGGATTATTTTTGTTATCGTACCCTTTTTATTTTATTTTTTTTTTTTTGACCCCTCAAAATAATTCATGTTTTTGTTTTAGTGTTACAAATATCATTAAATTAATGGAAAGGGGCTTTTAAACAGATAAGGCTATCGGGCAATTTATTAAACCCGAAATCGATAGGTGAAACCCCTTTTCAAAAATCGGATGATTATTTTAATATGATCTTCGGCGAATTTTAAATCTAATTATTTGTTTATTGTTTGTTCTATTAACTTTTTTATTTTAATTGACCATTTTAGTAAATCTGGAAGGATGGCGAAATTTATTTTAAATTATTCCAATTATTTGCATTGTTTGAAACAACAAAAAGCCCACCGCCATTTTACTTTCATTATTTTTTTTCTGCCTGTAGATCCGATGATCTGTTGTGCTATTATATATTTCTCAATGAACTTTCTATCTCTTACAGAAAATTAATTTATACATATAATATAATATATAATATTAAATTATATATTAATTATTATTAATTATTAATTATATTATATATTTATTTATTTTTTAACTTTTTTTTTTTTTTGGATAAATGGCTTGAGCGCTTAAACAGATAAAAATTCGGAGTTATACGAGAAGTATCACATGAATTATACGCGTTCTTATTTTCCTAATTTCAACAAAATCAAATTTTACAAATTTTAATATTATTCAAGCATTGGAAAAAAAAAATAGAAGCGAAAGAATTAAAGGCTTAAAATCTTTATTATCCACTTAAAGTTCTGAAGTTCTGAATAAACAAGAATGATTAATTAAGAAATCTATTGTTATCAATGAAAAAAAACTTGTTTAATTCTCGTTTTTTTTTTTTGTGAAACTATGAAATCAAATATCTCCTTATTATTATTTATTATAATCATGTGATTACGATTGTTGTTACGATTGTTGTTACGATTTTTTTACGATTTTGTTACGATTTGATACGATTTGTTGACGATTTTGTGAAAATTTTGTAACCCTCAAGTACCTAACCTTGCATGATTTAATCCTAGGTTTTTTCCGCCAAAAAATTAATAATGTCACATCCCCACATCCCAACGTAATTGATTATTTTGTCGATCGTTATGTATTGTTATCATTTAAAAATTTAAAAAAAACTAATATTTTTTAGGTAAGTAATCGCGCGTAAAAATACGCGTCAAATTTCACGCGTTAATTTTTTTAATTTTTTAGTTGAATCTAATAATATTATATATTATCTCGTATCAAATAAATAATGTTAATAAAAAAATAAAAATAAAAGAAAAAAAAATTCATAATCTTTATAAAAACTTGGTTTGTATTAAGATAATTTCAGGACGCGTTTTTTTTTTTTTTAAAAAAAAAAAAAAAAAGAAATAAAGATTATTTAATAAATATATTATCATCATTTAAGAAATAAAACAAATTTATAATAATTAATTTATAATAATTTATAATAATTTATGATTAATATTGATTAACTTTTGAATTTAATTTTATAATTCTTTATAATAATTATTATAATAATTTTTATATAAAATAAAATTTATAAAAAAATATTTTTTTTTTTTATTATATAAAAATGATGTTTAAAGGTAATAAAAACATATTTAATTCATATATTTTCAATCTATTTAATACTTTTATATGATCTCTCATTAAATTTGTTTTTATCATATTTATTATTGAATTATTGAAATAAATTAACTAATAATAAGCATAATACATTATATACTGTATTAGGCAATGGGGCGCGGAATCTTCATTTGATAATAGAATTGCTTTCTTTTAAGCATATTTAACTATACTAATGATATACAATATAAATATTTGAACAGCCTTTTCTCCTTTTAAGGGGACAATGGTCAATCCGAATTTTACTTTTTGCTATTCTAAATAGAAAAGATACATAAATAAAAAAAAAAGGCCGATTTTGAGAATCTGGTCATATTTAATTTTTAGGGAAGTAAAAAAAAGCCCACCCTCACCTGATTATAATAATCATCAATTTTATGTAACAATTTAATCCCTCCCCCACTTTTTTGTAGTTGATCATAAAAAATATATATATATATATATAAAATATATATAAATATATCTCTTCCATCCTAGAAAAAAATTTCAAAAAAAAATTTTCATCAAAATTTTTTATATATAATAAATAATAATCTCGCATTAAAATAAAATTTAAAATTACACAAAATACCCGCATTTCACGTCAATAATCCTTCAAATTCGATATGGAAAGTGATACAATTATGCAATAATGAAAATAACCAAAAAAATAAAATAAAATAAAATAAATTAAAATAAAATTAGCGCAAGAAAAAAAATAATGATTATCTTTAAAAAAGATTTCTGAAAAATTCTTCATGTTTAACTTCAAATAATATTTCAACTTTTCTGACTTTCCTATAATAAAAATCCATATGAAAGTTACCTTAATAATTATTATAAGCATATATATGTGTGTGTATGTATACATATATATATCCTATATTGATTTATAATACTGTTTACAATGATAATATGAAATGATAAAAAAGATATTTTTTATTCATCAGTAATTATTATCATCAAATGTTAAATGAAACAACTTTCTAATAAAAAAAAAAATTTCTCGATAAAAATTTGCAAATTTCACGTGATACCTCCAACTATCCTGCACTGACAATATTATAATTCTGGTCAACCCTTTTTTAATTTCAGGCAGAATTTATTATGAATTAATATTACATTGATTCTTCTTGATTAACATTGCCAATACGTTCTTTCAATAAATCAGTCCATGGATCTGTCTCAACTACTTTGAGCAGGTATTTGGATTCTTTAATAATCACCTCCAAAGGTACTTCAAATCCCAATTTATCAAATATTATGTGAATTAAATCTTCAATACTTTTCCTTTCCTCACAAAGATCATTATTCAATAAAACTTTAAATAATTTAACGAGATTCTCCAAGAATAAAGCCAAAGTTGGACTTAATATCTCGGTCTTATCCTCTTCTTCATCAATAGGATTTGTATAGGATTGAATCCATGTAAAACGTGATGATGCGTAGAAAGTGAAGAGAAAAAGTGTTGTAAGAATTTGTAACATTTTAAGAGTTTCGGACGAATTAATTTGGTAAGTCAAAAAAGATCTTGAAATTCGAAGTCGAGAAAATGATGACAACCAAATGTCAAGTATTAATCGATTAATTTCTTTGAAATTAATATCCTGAATTAAAAAAAAATTTTTTATTCATTTTTTTTCTTCCATTTTTTGTCCCCCTGCTTGTGGGCTGAAAAAAACTTATCTTTTTGCACATTTGTTTATCATTTTATTGGGGATATTGACATCCTGTAAGTTTTTTTTTTTTTTTTGTTATTTCAGAGACATGAAAAACGATTTGATATGTTACCTTGTTTACATTAGAATCATTTGAGATATTACACTGTGTATTATGTTTTTCACTACATAATCTATGTAGTAACGCTAAACTAATAATTACTCTCATCATAAACCTGAATTATCATAAAAATTGTTACAGATGCGCACAAAAATAATGAATTTATACGTACGTACATATAAAACTTACTTGGCTGGAACATTTATAACAAATTCAGCAATATCCAACAATATAAGAATAATTTCTTTGTTTTTCAAAGTTGAAAAGGTTTCGTAAATTGAGTTCAATTCAGTCTTACGTTTGGCTAATAAATCGAAATATTCAAATTCTGATGAAATATCCTAAAATAATTGCAAGAATGTTTAAAATAACATATGTTAAAAAAAACATATATAGTTGATGGAAATAAACCTGATTATTTTTGAGGCATTGTGCAAGTTCTAACTCAAAAAGTTCAAGATGCTCCAAACATTCATTTACAATATTATTGTACATCAACGTTTTCAGAAAAGGTTTCAATTTCAACTAAAAATATTGAATTAAGGTTAATAAGTTAATTTAATAATAGATTTTTATATTAGTTATCATACCGATTCAACTTCTTGAATTGTTATCAATTTTTCTAATCTTAATTGATTTATTAAAAGATCAGTTTGACAAGGATATTCGGCTTTATAAATTTTAAACCTTGGGTTGAAAATTTTAAAAATTAATCGCGGCTCTTTAAATAATGAGATGATATAGTTCGAGGTGAGTATTTGAAAAAGAGACCGAATTGTATCAAATGTTCAAATTGGCATTGATTGAACACTATTTAATTTGTTTCTTTTTATCAATTGGTCCCTTTTTCTGGCACTCACCCAATAATTAACTTACATCATGTGAAGCGGGCGCAACTTGGTGAAATCTTGATGCGTAATAATCTATTAGAAGTTCACGTTAATATTTGAGAAAGTTGTTGATTTGAATTCATTAAAGAATCGACAACCCTTTCTAACTCTTCCAAATCCTTATCATGTGAAAATTAAAACACGTACCTTACAGAGGTCTAACTGATGTGTTCGATGTTCGCTTGGAAAAAGTATAACAGTATCTAAAATAGCTTGACACACGTGTAATCTGAAATATGATCGGAGAAATTATTATCATTATGAAATATTTAATTGACCAAATATGCATACTTTTGAGAAACAAGCATTTCTTCCTGGGTAAAATCCGGTTTCACTTTAATATCATTAATCTTGGAAATTCCTTGCACCATTCGTAAAAGTTCAAGATCCTCATATAACAAAGTTCTTGACATCTTTAAAAGTTATTATATATAATGAAGATTTTTTTTTTTTTTTTTTAAAAAAAAATTACATATAATTAATAATTTCAAAATAAATTTTCACCCTGCTAAATTTCTCTGCTAGGAAAGCACGAAAATCATCTCTTCTTTGAATTTCCTTAGAATCAGCATCGTTATTGCTTGAATATAACCAACCAGCTTGATCTCGTATAAATATTAGCAACCAATGAATCGTTTGTCCCGGTACCCTACTATCATCAAGAGCTTGCTTGATCAACAGTTCAAGACTTGACCTGAATGGAACTATATATAAAATGATGTCAATTTATTGAATTCTCTTACATTAAATTTGTTTTGATACTGACAAAAATTTTCCTGCGGTTCGAACGTATTGAAAAACTTTAATATCGGCGTATAAGTTTTGGGATTCGCCGAATCATGTAACCTTTTTGCCAAAATATGGGCCAGAAAATTTCCATTAATCTAAAAGATGATAAACACAAAAATGAAACAAATCATTGAAATTTGAATATATTTTTATTTATAATCTAAACTTTATAATTACAATGATTAACAAAAGAAATTTTTTTTTTTACACACCGTTAAGTCATAATCAGGTACAATATTATTTGAACAAATATAAGTAAAGAGGACATCCTGATATGATTTATATGTACTAATTTTTTTTTATAAATAATCGTAATTCTAAAAATAAAAATAAAACCTATAATTGTAATAGCAAGCATATTCTTTTTAATAATTCAAACCTTGGAAGTCGAGCAGCGATTTCAGGCGCAATTTCCCATTTATGTAAGTATAAATAATTATAATCTGTTGAAATTACGGCTTTTGATTCAATGTGGTCAAGTAGTAAATTAATGAAGGTTTCTGGTTCCATGATATATATGGTATTTAAATTTTGAAGTTTGGAAAGGAAAAAAGAAAAAGATAGAATTCTTTATTATCCGCAGTAACCTATGAGGTACTATGTTTGAAAATCTTTCCTTAATTGTTAAAAACTATTCAAAAAATTTTAAAATTTTTTTTCTTCAGATCTTTTTGAAATTATCATCTTCGCTACTGCGGTATTTCCGTATCAAAAGTTCAATATGAACGATCCAGTAGAAATTGTTGATATTGGCTTGACTGATCTTTCGTGGGCGGAATTTATAAAGTCTCGTGCTTTATATAGCTTCACAAGCTCTAGCATAACAGAACGTCTTGAATTTCTGAACCATTCTTTAATACCTCGAATAAAAGCTGGAGGTTAGTTATCAAGGAGGAGTTAAATTATTTGACTTTGTCATTATATAATTCGTTGTTATAATTTGTTCTATAAAAATTGGTGTTATAATTTGTTCTGTTAAATCTATTCTTTCATATAATAGGTCTGTCCGATAAAACACTTGGAAGCTTACTTTACCTAGTGTTCCTTACTTACTCAAGATATAATGACAGACCTTCGCGTTCCGCAATGATAAATGTATTAAAAGAACTTAATAATTGGAATTCATACCAATTCCTATTGTCATTTGTTCCATTGATTGTCAAGGAAACTAATAAATTGAATCAAAAGAGTCCCGATGGGTACAAGAATGATGTTTCTTATTCAACATAATGTATGATTGGTTATTAATACGTGATCCGCATTTTCATCTAGTACCACTTATACGACTTCCTCCGTTAACCGGTTTGTTCTTCTCACATGGACCAATTTGTTGATCACATTTGCTTTGTCGAAAAATTCAACGCTAGATTCTTCTTATTGGAGGGATTTAGTAGACGTTCAAGCGATTCTATTACATTCGTTAGTAAGCGAAAATGAGAAACGAAAAAATATAAAACGTAGTGCATTGTTCGATGTTAGACGAACAATTCGCAATGTACGTGATAATAATTTATTTTTTCTTTTCTTGATTTAAATTGATCTAATGATTAAAAATACTACTAACTTGATCGATAATAATAATTACTTTTTAAGAATGCATCACACATTCCCTCATATATTTCTTATTTGATATCTAATGTGAAAGCATGCAACCCTGTTTATAGGAATGCTGTATTATTGGGAACTGTCATTGACTGCTCCTTGAGACTTAGAAAGGGCATTGGCAAATCTTACGTTGAGAATGGAAAAGTTCGTGTAATTTTACTATTTGCTAGCTAAATCCCCTTATGAATTTAATTATTTTCTTATTGGTTCTCCAAAATTTATCTTAGGAAGACATAATACAATATTATATCACGGCTATTATTTCATCGAAGACCCCAGTGCCAAAGATATCAGCGGTAACTTTGAATTGGATATTTTTTTTTTTTTCTATATTGGAAGTCAAATCGAATAAATTCTGAATATCATAATTATTTAATTAGGATGCATTACATGATTTCATTAACGTTATGGTCACTGAAGAAGATTTTAAGATCAAAATTACGCCCGTTTTAGAGAAACAACTTCTTAGAGCGCCAGAAATCTTATTAAATGGTACTCACTTTTTGGTTTACTTTGTTTCATATTAAATTTAATTTCTAATTTATTTTGTTGTACTTTATGCAGTTTTAATAAGTCTTTTTAAATCTGTATCCTTCGATGTGTCAAATGTTTTTAAGATGCAATCACTATTCAATCATGTACAATCTACCAACAAAACAATACAAACGGATGCTGCAGAATTGTTGATTATCTTAATTGAAAAAAGTTCGAGAGAAGAAGTTCTTATAAATAATGTTAAGGACATTTTGCAGGCATTAACAGGTGGTCAGTATCTCCTTTTCCTTTGATTTTTATTAAATAAATATATATATATATAATTAGTATATATCTTTTAGTGTATATATATATTTAATTACAATTCTTATTTATCGCAAATCTCGAAAATTATTCGAATTTAAAAATTTAGCGATTGAATATTAATCTAAAAAATTATGACAAACCCTCGCCTAAATCATATTAAACTTAGTTCAATTGCTTTAATACTTATTATTATAATTTTATTAATATTAGATTATAAGATCAATAAATTATTAATGTACTAACTTATTACCAAACATTTTATTGCATTTTATTGGGACAGGAAAGGTGACTACCCCAGAGCATCGTGTTATTTTGTTACAAGCTCTTTCTCATGTTCGCCAATCACCCGATGTTGTTAAAACTGTAATTGATGGACTTTTGCCTATTGTTTCTAAAGAAAATAATGAATCTTCTTTATCTAAAGCGATTGAAATATTGGGATTACATGCTGGAATTTTACTGAGTTCTGAACATGAGAAGTCATTTCTGGAAAAAATCGTGAAGTCCGCAGTAGATGGATTGTCTAGTTCAAAAGTTGGTACTAGGAAAGCCTGGGCGATCGCTATTGGTAGAATGGTTTGGGAAGTAACTGAATCTCCCACGAATTCGATGAAAAAATTTGTGTACAAGTCTCTTACACAACTTATACCAACGATGGGGAAAATTCAATCGAACCCTCTTACTTTCACTGGAGGACCAATTGAAGGATATGTTACTATTGCAATTGCAATTGGCAAGGCCAAAAATTGGAACGATGATATAATTGGTAATATAATTTTTTCTTCTTCCGTAATATCTTTTTCAATATTACACTTGAATTTGTTAAGTAAAATAATTTAATTTATTAAATATTTAGATGATTTAATAAACGCAAAAAAATTTACTCAAAACATTTTAATAACGTCACCGAAACCTTCTTTTTTACTTTGGGACAAAATTTACTCCAAATTAAATACTTATGAAGAAGGATTTTGGTTGATCCGTGCACTTGAAGGAGTTTTACTTGATAGGGATGAAGCCTTGTTACAAAATAATGATGCACAGTAAGAATGATGATATGATGTTTAATGAATTATTTTATGATCGGATATTTACGTATTGTTGTTTTTAGAATATTCTTATCTACGGCCTTTATTTATTTGATAACATCATCTAATCACCGAATACGTCGTGAAGCGTATAATTCTCTAAAAAGGTGTACTCAAAATAATGCTGAAACTGTTGGAATGATTTTTCGTAAAGGATTGTCACAATGGGTACTCAATGTAGGTCCATTATAATAGATACGCTTACTTTATACCTTAACTATATATTTACGTTGTACCTTAATTTTGTGATTTAAGCTTGAGAAAAATGTTAAAGATTCTACGGCAGTACTGTTGTCAGGATCTGCTCATTCTGATCCTATAGTAAATGCGTACCGACTTTCACAAGTGCTTACGGCTATTGCCACTTTCTCTAAAGAAGAGGATAATTACAAAATTGAATCTTCACTTGTCGAGTTGATTATTTTAGCACATCATCCATCAATTGGTATATTTTGGTTTTTGCAGATTGTCAATAAATAATGATTTGATTTATGTCTTAATTAAGAATTTACAAATTATATAATTAATATTAGTATCACCTAATAACAAATACAATTGGATTTCATTGATTCAAAGAGCTCATGTTGATCCTGGAAAACTTGTTGAAAATTATTCAGGTCGTCTTCGACAAATAGTTCAAGAAAATATTGAGATTGATCATGAGGTAAGAAACAAAATTGTTATATAAATTAATGTAATATAATAAAAATTTTAACATTATAATTTTTTTTTTCATCAGCAAAAACATTTTTATAAAGCTGCTATGTCAGCTATTGCTACTATTACTTTTATTTCTCCAGAAACAATAATACCTTTATTCTTAACACAATGTCACAGAGATTTGGATGCCTCATTGTTTGATAATATAGGAGAAAATGATGTTGACATTTGGAAAACTTCAGAAGGAACTTTATTTATTGATGGTATTATAAATTTTTATTATTTATTATAATTATCCTTACTGATCGATTAATAATTAATATTTTTAATATTATTAGTTCTCAAACGTAATAAGAAGAATATTGTTGAAAATCGTAATCGAAAAGATTATCAAACAGAAAAATGGGAACGTGAGTTACGTGAATCAATTGCCAAAAAGAAAGGTGACTCTTCAAATACTCCTAAACTTACAAAGGAGGAACAGTCCGCAGTAGACGCCCAATTAACAAAAGAATCCGAAATACGTAAAAATATGGAAATACTTTGTTTGAAATTAACAAGAGGTCTCGATATTGTGGATGCATTAGTCGAGGGAAATTCTGAAGCTGTAGAAAAACATATTGTAGAAATTATGAGAATTTTAATCAATGTTGTACAAAAAGGAGGTCCTTTGATTGGTGATAAAGGTGTCAACACATATTTACGAATTAATAAGTGCACATCAGAAAAAATTGAGAATATTCGTGATTTTATCGGTTTAGCAACTCTTCGTACTATGAGTGTTAAGGAAGTTCCTGAAAGATGGCTTCATGAGCCATTGGACAATCTTGTTACTCGTGTTCTTTATCGTCTTAGATTTATAACTGAACGTTCATTACTACCCCCTTCATCTTTTTCTTATTGCTTTCCACTAATTCACCAAGTTGTTAAAAAAGGTGGCATTAAAAATGATGATGATGAAGAGAAGGATGTGATGGATCAAATTGCTCTCGGATTAGATGTTATATATTTCCATTCGTCGATTGGGTTTTCACCTTTACTACCTCGAACAGAAATGATTCTGATTCTTCTGCAAATTATTAAAGAGTATCCTAAATTGAATAAATTAGCAAGAACAGCTTTAGTAAGTTTGTGTGAAGCCATTGGTGACACTGCAGGGAGGAAAGAATTTGATGCATTACTTAATGGATTATTATCCTCTGAACCATTCGTTCGTCACGCTTCTTTACAAGCATTGGATTATTTGGATCTTACTGAGATTGACTTTTCTTGTGAACTATGGGTTGCATGTCATGATGAAGATGAGAATAATGCCAAGCTGGCATCAGTATTATGGGAAGACAACGGAATGGATGTTGAACCATGTTATGCATTGGAATTAATACCTTTAATAACTCACGATGAAAAATATGTTCGAGTCGCTGCTTCCAAAGCGATAGGTAATGCTGCCAAGTACTTTCGAGATTCAATGACAGATACGTTAAATTTAATTTACGATCAATATAAAGAGAAGGTATTGACATTTATGTTATTAGTTCGAATTATGCAACAAATAAATAAAATATTTTATTATTTATTCAGGCCACCCCAATCAAGCCAGAATATGACGATTTTCGTATGTTAAGACCAGAATCTTTAGAGAAAAATAAAGATCCTTGGGAAGCTCGGGTTGGATTGGCGCTTGCTCTTAGTGAACTCGCGCCATGTATGAGATCTTCGGATTTAATTCCGTTCTTTGAATTCCTTATCAACGATGAAGCTGTTGGTGATATCCATGCACAAGTTCGACAAAAAATGTTAGAAGTATGAAAAATGTTTAATAATATTATATGATTTAAGTATCAGTAATTTTTTATTTTTTAACTAATTCTATAATTTGAAATAGGCTGGGTTAGCCGTAATTAATGAACATGGAGCCAAAAATGTTACATTATTATTACCAGTGTTAGAAAATTATTTAGATAAGCCGGCTGTACCTACTGAAACACATGATCGAATACGCGAATCTGTTGTTATCTGGCTTGGAGCTTTAGCTCGGCATTTAAATCCTACAGATGCAATGATTCCAATTGTAATAGATAAACTATTAGATACGTTAAAAACTCCTTCAGAATCTGTCCAAGCAGCAGTTGGTGATTGTTTACCACCATTAATTAAATTAATGAAAGATAATACTCCAAGTTTAATCGAGGGACTACTTAATCAGTTATTCCGTGCTGAAAAATATGCGGAACGAAGAGGTGCTGCATTTGGTTTAGCTGGCGTTGTTAAAGGCACGGGTATTTCAGCTTTAAAAGATTGTAACGTTATGACATCATTAAAAGGGGCAGTTGACAACAAAAAGGATTATAAATATCGACAAGGAGCTCTTTTTGCTTTTGAAACATTGTCACAATCTTTGGGTCGTCTTTTTGAACCTTATATTATTCAGATACTTCCTTTGCTTTTAGTTTGTTTTGGAGACACGCATCCTGACGTTCGAGAAGCAACTTCAGATGCTGCAAGAGTAATAATGAGTAAAATTAGTGGACATTGTGTCAAACTTATTCTTCCTTCATTATTAGCAGGATTAGATGATAGACAATGGCGAACAAAGAAGGGTTCAGTTGAATTATTGGGTTCAATGGCTTTTTGCGCTCCTAAACAACTTTCCATTTCTCTTCCAACAATTGTTCCACGGTTAACGAATGTACTTACAGATTCGCATACTAACGTTCAGTCTGCTGCTAATGAAGCATTATTACGTTTCGGTGAAGTTATTAGTAATCCTGAAATTCAAGCTTTAGTACCAATCTTACTTAAAGGCCTGAGTGATCCTGATAAGCATACTAATGCTGCGTTAGATTCATTATTAGAAACTGCTTTTGTACATTATATTGATGCTCCTTCACTAGCATTGGTACATATATATATCTTTTTTTAAATAATTGTTATTTTTTATTTTTAAGATCTATTTATACTTATAACAATTACTTTGTTTCGTTTAAAGGTAATGCCAATTCTTGAACGTGGATTAAAAGAACGAGGAACAGAGATCAAAAAAAAGTCTTCCCAGATTGTTGGTAATATGGCATCTCTTACTGATGTCAGAGATATTATCCCATATTTGCCCAGACTTTTACCTGGTCTCAAAGAAGTATTAGTCGATCCAGTACCGGATGCTCGCGCTACAGCAGCAAAAGCACTTGGTACTATGGTTGAAAAACTTGGCGAGGACAAATTTCCTAACCTTGTCAATGAACTTGTACACACGCTTAAATCTGATACAAGTGGTGTTGATCGACAAGGTGCTGCTCAAGGTCTTAGTGAAGTATTAGCGGGATTAGGTCTTGAACGACTTGATGGACTTTTACCAGAAATAATTAATAACACTAGTAGCCCAAAATCCTATGTCCGAGAAGGATTTATCTCATTGCTCATTTACCTTCCCGCAACTTTTGGCCTTCGGTTCCAACCCTATCTTGGACGAATTATCCCACCAATTTTATCTGGTCTTGCGGATGAATCCGAATATGTACGGGATGCTTCACTTCGAGCAGGTCAAATGATCGTAGCAAATTATGCAACAAAAGCTGTGGACCTCTTACTTCCTGAGTTAGAAAGAGGATTATTTGATGATAATTGGAGGATTAGGCAAAGTTCTGTACAACTTATGGGAGATTTACTTTATAGAATTACAGGTATTAGTGGTAAAACTGATATTGATGGAGAAGAAGAAGAAGAAACAGGTGGTACAGAGGCAAATAGAAAGGCTTTACTTCAAATTCTTGGTAAAGAAAGACGTGATCGTCTACTGGCTGCTTTATACATCGTAAGACAAGATGGTAAGTTATATGGTTTAGATGGTATATTTATAAATTAATTACTTAATATTATTTCATATTTTCATTTCATCTTCAAAGTTTCTGGTATTGTTCGACAAGCATCAGTTCACGTATGGAAAGCTATTGTATCTAACACTCCTCGTACCGTCAAAGATATACTTCCAATAATGATGGGAATGATCATCCGTAGCCTTGCAAGTCCTAGCTATGAGAGGCGTCAAGTGGCTGGTCGAACACTGGGAGAGCTTGTTCGTAAATTAGGTGAAAGTGTTTTATCAGAAATTATACCAATTCTTGAAGAAGGTTTAGAATCTCAAGAAGCAGACATGAGACAGGGCGTCTGCATTGGTCTAAGCGAAGTAATGAGTACGGCAGGGAAATTTCAAGTTATCGATTATGTTGATTCAATTATTCCTGCTGTTAGAAAAGCCTTGGTTGATGAATCGAGTGACGTGCGTGAGGCAGCTGCTCAAGGTAATTGATTAAACAAAAAAAAAATAAATAAATAGAAAATTTTATGTTTAAAATTCTTTTGCTTTTTTATTAACTCTCGTTTGTTTTTATAAGCTTTTGATACTCTTCAGCAGAATGTAGGGGACAAGGCGATAGATGAAATTCTACCAAAATTGCTTAATTCTTTACAATCTGGAGATGAATCTATATATGCTTTAGAAGCTCTTAAAGAAATTATGGCCGTACGTGCTAATGTTGTTTTTCCTGTGCTCATACCTACTCTTATACAAATACCAATTAACGCATTTAATGCTCGAGCTCTTGCGTCATTGGTAACAGTAGCTGGACCTGCTCTTAACAAACGTTTAGCACAAATATTAAGCGCACTTATGATATCTTTGGGTACAGAAACTGATGAACATACCATATCAGAGTTGAATGAAACAAAGAAGGCACTGTTACTTTCTATTGATAGTGTTGAAGGTCTCCAGACTTTAATGTCAGTACTTTTTGAAGCGGTAAAAAATGACGATCCTTCTTGCCGAGCTGGTGCTTGTGATATGCTTACAACTTTTTGTAATGAAAGTAAAATGGACTATTCAAGATATATGACTGAGTGGATACGTGTACTGATTTTACTTTTAGATGATCGACAGGAAACTGTGGTAAAAGCAGCTTGGAATGCTTTATCAGCTATAATAAAACCTTTAAAGAAAGACGAATTAGAACAATTAGTTATACCTGTCCGTCGTGCTGTTAAAGGTGTTGGTGTACCTGATGTGGACCTACCAGGCTTTTGTTTACCAAAGGGGATTAGCCCTATTCTTCCAATATTTTTGCAAGGTTTAATGTATGGTACTGCCGAAATTCGGGAACAATCTGCTTTGGGTATCGGAGATCTTATCCAAAAAACTTCGGCTGAAGCACTTCGGCCGTTCGTTACACAAATCACAGGTCCTCTTATTCGTATAATTGGGGATCGTTATCCTCCTCAAGTGAAAGCCGCCATACTCTACACTTTAAGTCTTTTACTTACTAAAGTTCCTGCTCATCTTAAACCATTTATTCCTCAATTGCAACGTACTTTCATTAAATCTCTTTCTGATCCTTCAAGTGCTCTTGTCCGTTCAAGAGCGGCATCAGCTCTTGGTATTCTAATCTCATTGCAAACTAGAGTAGACCCTCTGATAATTGAGTTGGTTACTGGCATCAAAACTAGTGAACCTAATGTTCGAGAGACAATGTTAACTGCTTTAGAAAGTGTAGTAAAAAAAGCTGGATCAGGAATGAATGATACTTCAAAGAAAAGTGTTATTAAAGTTATTGTGGATGGGTTAAGTGATAATTCAGGTATGAATTTTGTTGATATTATTAAGCAACATTGAAAGTTTATTTAATACAATTATCAAATCTTTTCATATCTTTATAAGATGGAATGGTAGTTGGCTCATCTCGTTTGTTTGGAAGCTTATGTAAACATATATCTCTACAAGAGGCTATGCCTATCATCTCGTAAGTAAAAGTAATTAACGTGTTATCATTACCTAAATAAAATATTTTTTATTCTAAATAATTCTTTTATTCAATTTAAGGACTCACATTTTAGCTGGAGGTTCCCCATCTCAAAGTTCTCTATTGGCAATCAATGCAATACTTGCAGAATCTTCAAGAATGTTCTATGACTTAGAAAATACACGTGAAGTTGTAGATATTATCGTAAAAGGATCGGCGAATAATCTGGTAAATAAAGAATTCATACTGGTTTTTTTTGTTATTCATAATCAATAGATGAATTATCTAAAGAATTTTTTTCGCTTAATATTTTTATAGCCTAATATTGCTGATACAGCAATAATAGCAGCTGGTAAAATGTTGCTTATTGATTTATATCACGGAGAATCCGCGGTTGCTTGCCTTGTTGAAGCACTAGTAGCCAATATTTGTGAACCTGCAACACTATTAGGGGAGACAAAGCGTTTGGCATTAACTGTCTTCTGTGCAGTTGGAAAAAAATTTCCACAGGTACATCGTATACTATTAATATCTATAGTTAATTTTAATGTTACTAAAAAAAGGTTAAATATCATTAGATCCTCGAGCCCCATTTATCCATAATCATACCGCCCATGATGGTATGTGTACGTGACCGAGTTGTCCCAGTAAAATTGGCAGCTGAATTAGCATTAGTATATGTATTACAACTATTAAAAGGCGAAACTATATTACAGGTTTGTCAAATTCAAGTTATAAATAATTTAAATTAATCAAAATTTTACATTTAATAACTTTTTTTTATTACTCGTATTATAGCAATATTTATCAACAGTTGATGCAACGACAGCAAAATCAATTACAGATTTTCATAAACGCGTCTTAACAAAATTAGTGGTACAAGAACAACAAAAGATGGAACAAATTCAAGTAGGAGATACAAATGAAATGGATGAAGAAGAACAGGAAATATGGGCAGTTGGCAATATTGGTACTTTTGCTTCGAATGTAGATCAAGAATAGAACAATGTTAAAAAGATTATATAATTTATTATTAATTTAAAAAAGTTTTTTATATTTCGTGTTTGTTTTCTGATTCACATTTCCAATCACATTGCATACATGCATTACATGGTTAAAAATCAGAATCCCACTTCGGGTAAAAACAAAATACTTTATAAACAATATACAGTACATGTGTATTCTAACCATGAAACATTTTATGTATATCTATGAACTTTGAAGGCCTTAATTGATTTCATGCTTTCTTTGTTTCTTTTGGTGCTTACTTTCAGTAGAATTCATGATGTCATTTTTACCGCTTAAAAAGTCATTAGGATGTTAATTTGTGATCTAACCCAATACTCTTCTTATACTATAACAAGCTTTCATGATCATATCTTTCCAGATTAAAAAAAAAAAAAGTTTAAATTAGCTTTGCCAACAATACAATTATGCACCTGTAAATCAACTTACAATATTGTGATCTTCATCCGATCACCTTAAAGTGGGATCAATCATTTTCATTGGTTGGTCACTGACTTCCTTTTGAAATAGTTGATAAATTAACCTCAGAGGAGCAAATTAATAACTTCCAATTAATGTTATAGTTAATAGTCTTTTCTTAATTGTCAGTTTTAACTTTGTCAGTCCAAACCGTTTGTATGAACAAACACCAATCAGTAAATCCAACATTTCTGGTAATGTAATTTGTAGTCGTTCGATTCGGCAACCTTCATTAATGAAGAGAAATTGTAGATACGACAACCAATATTTGATATATGTAATCACAACATTGTCCGCATAAAGAGTTAGTTTAGTCATCATTAAGATGGTAGTTGCCCCAATTATATTCCTCGACTCGATAATCAATTTAAGTCTAAATGATCTGCGTGACTTTCGACAATTTTGTATCTTTTGACTTTAAATGGGAACAAGATCATTAAAAACTGCTCCCCTTAAATTCGTAAGGGTGCCAATAAAATTTTTGTAACGGTTGTTTACAATTTGCAATCTTATGTTCTGATATTCCTATATTCCTATATTCCAGATGATAAAATCGTGAGAACTTTAGAAGCAGTTCGTCTTTGGGTAAACAAACCATTATTTTTCCGATTTGCCATTTCGACCGTTACAAATACCAAGTTTTGGGGTAAATCGGTATAGATTTCATTGACTTCTTATCTATTCCAATCAAATTTCTTATATTTCTTATTCTCAATCCAATAAAAATTTGTTCTTGGAAAAGGTGTTCATTTTTTTTTCGGAAAAATTCTGCATTGTCATTGTATCTGCAGGAGTTAAGTTAAATCACAACATTGTAGACTTAATCAAGTAAAATGATGTAATCTACCTTGATCTTATTTTTTAATTTATGCTATATTCAAAGCAATTTTTCATATTTGTATTATAAGAGTTTACCTATTCACGCGCTTTGCATATACGATATATGTATATATATATCCCCTATATACGTAGTTTTTTTACCTGATAATTTCTTTTAATAATAATAATAACAAATAAAAAAGAAAAAAATGTTTTCTAGATCAAAATTAAAAAAACGTGCACAAACTTCAACTACACTCCAATTTGCACCTCCAAGTTGGTTAACTGGTATTTTTGAACGAAATTCAAGTAATACACCTTTACCTCGAGATTTTTCCGATGAGAATTGGAAAAAATCACTTCTTCAAAAAATTATAAAGTCTATTTCTACTGTACCATATCTTTCTCCTAAATTACTGTATATATTCCTATGTGCTGGTTTGGGTTCATCCTTACCGTACCTTCCTATCTTTTATTATTCCTTAAATTTGAATCCTTCGGAAATTGGTATTGTTTTCTCCGTAGCCCCATTAATTTCTGCTATAAGTTGTCCGCTTTGGACAGGATTAGCTGATCGATTTCAAGCTCATCGATCAATTATTGTTACTATCTACATATTAGCAACTGCTGGAGTTGTATCTCAAATGTTTTTGTCAAGGTTAGATTTAGATACGGATAATAGTTTACACGCTTTTATAGTTGCATGCGTTTTTATTGCTGCTTTGTGGTTTGCCTTCTTTGGCATACCAGTAAATGCTTTGGTTGATAGTGGTGTGTTGAAGATTTTGGATGATAAGAAAGAACTTTATGGTATGTTTGATTGATATAACATGAAATGAAATTTTGATCTTCATTATAGTTCTTATTTAATTCTTCTTTAATTAATATAGGACAACAAAGATATTGGGGTTCTATTGCATACGGTTTAAGCACTTTAGGAGTCGGATTACTTTTGGAAAAATTTGACAACGTAAACGTTATCTTTTACTACTTTTTTTGTACCGCCATCTCATTTCTTATTGTAGTCATTACTACTGATTTCAACTCAACTTCCGGTGAAATTGACATAGTACCGACACATTTTAAAAGTATACCTTTTAAACCTTTAATTGATCTTGATGATGAAAATGATATCGCTTCAAGTTCTGCAGCATATAATCTATCTGCCATTAATCATTCTTCAAACGTTGAAGAATCGGATGGAGAAGATTCTTCTACAGATGATGAAGATGATGATGGAATTCCGATACCTGATCTAGACATTTTAGCTTTTCCTTCTACTACACCTAGTATACCAACGACTGATAATCCAACTTCAGCAATAAAAACTTTATTCACGACTCCAACTGTTGTAACTTTATTAATTGTTATGTTACTAATGGGGATCGCCCTTTCAATGAGTAATTCATTCTTATTCTTATTTCTTAAGAATGATTTGGAAGCAAGTTCAACTATCCTTGGTATAACAGGTCCAGTTAGTGCTGTAACTGAATTATTATTCTTTTTTTATTCCAAAGAGGTAAGAATCGAGTTTATATTTATATTAATATATTTAAATACTTTTGAATTAAATAAAAATTATTATTATTTTTCTTTTTCTTTTAGTTAATCTCACAATTTGGTATAAAATCATTGATATTACTCGCTCACGTTGTTACAATTATACGTTGTTCAACATATCTGTTTTTACAACCTAGTATATTCTCTCACATAGCTGTACTTATCGTACAATTATTAAATGGAATTGGATTTTCATCATTATGGGTTAGTGGAGTAACTCATATTGCAAATAATACACCTCCAAATCTTGTATCATTTTCACAAGGAGTTATGTCAGCACTTTATGCTGGTATTGGTACGGGACTTGGTAGTTTATTTGGGGGAATATTATTTGGTAGTTCAGGAGGACCAAAATTGATGTTTGGAATTGTTATTGCAATAACTATATTAAGTATGATATTATATTTGTGGGGTGAAAACGGATTTACGCATTTTAACATTATAAATAAAAGGCGGAATCATCGTATTAGATCACCATGGCAAGGTAGTTATGGTCAAACTACTATTGAAAGACCAAGAAGTATTCTTTCCGTTGAAACCGTACCAAGATCTATTACTACTAAAAAAGGTAGATATGAGTTAATATCCACTGATGATGATGATGATGAACAGTATCATTATGGTGTATTTGGCGAAAATAGAATATAAAATGATGTAGGGATGTAGGAAAAAAAAAAAAAAAAATGATAAAAATTTCTTTAAAAATATTTTAATAATTGTTGTATAAACAAGTAAAGGAAAACAAAAACTTAGTAAATAATTAATATCTCTGAATCGTAGAAACTCAATAGTTTTGTTCTTTAATACACTAGTCATCATAAGATCTTTTAATATTACTGGAGTATATAATAGTTAGACAAAATTAATTTAAAAAAAGTATTTTATAATAAAATTATTTAAGTAAATAAAAAAGAATTTATTTTTTAATAAGGTTTTTTTTTTGGCTAAACTTGTGACGTTATTCATTATCTTCGAATTCAGAATCAGGACCTTCCATGATAATTTCAGGTATTTCCATATCATCGTCAGAATCATCATTAGTATCAACCATTCTAAGAGATTTAAAAACACGATCATGGTCCTTTTCCTTGTCTTCCTTGGATAATTCTTCTTTTTCACCAATAGGAGATGGAGAACGTATTCTTTTCTTCTTCATTTCTAAGGAGGTAGATTGAGGTAGTTCAACCTAAAAATTAATACGAGAATTGTAAATATAAAATTTATAAAATAAGTAAAAGAAAAAAAAAATTATAACGGCTTAACTTTTTGCATATTAACTTTATCATCTATCGAAATATTATTTTTACTGCCATCTTCCATTATATTAGGTTTCGACTTATTATCACCACGTAATACATTATTTTCTTCGGCAGTTATAGCTTTATCAATGTTAATTTCTAATTTGTTAACAGTGTTTTGTTCTATTATTAATGTATTTGCTTCTTCTGGGACAATATCGAAAGTTTTTTGTGACTGCTCTAAAACTAGCATATTACTATTGTCATTATTTTCTATATAAGAATGTTGTGATATATTTTCTACAGTAGTGTGTTCTAGTTGTTGTGTGATTGGTGTACTTGCAGAGGATCGTTCGAGAGGCGGCAAACGACTATGATATATTAGATCACATATTGACAATGCATATGAACAAAATGATTGTAACTATACATTAAAAAGAATAAGTTAGCACGAATAGCAAATTAAAGAATGATCATTCTTTAACTTACTTGGGTTGATTGAGAATTTTGACCAGCTGAAAAAATTCTTAAAGCATGCGGTAGTATAGTAGGTTGATATTCTGACGGAGAAATTATAGAAAATAATAAACACTCATATAGTTTCATATTTACATTCTCCTCGTTAAGTAAAATTTTACTTGAATTGTACGTAGATGAGATGTTTTGTGATAATATTCTCGATAATAGAATGTTATCTAGTGATAGTCTTTTATTTGATGATATTGATGCTCCACATGTTTGCAATAAAATTTTTAATACTTTGTTTTTGTAGTAAGATTTGAAATTAGTAAATATAATGACACAAAAGAAAGAAAAGAAAAGAAAATTTGGTACCTTCTAATGCTGAACATTGTACATCGTTGTCCGCTTGTAAATATATTAGGCCACTTGAATTAACAAGTGCATCAGAATTTGTTATTTGTGATGACTCTTTCTTTTTACTTGATTTCTTTTCGATTTAATAAATTAAATAATAAAATTAATTAAATAATTAATAGACGCTAAATTATTACTAAATATCGAAATATTAACCTTGTTGTTGGTAGAGACAGGAGTATTATTAGAAATATCATATTGAGATTTTTGTATTATTTCTATATCATCAATTATAAAGGACAATAAAGTTGATGATGATATAGAATTTGTCAGCCCAATTCCATATTTTTGCATACAAAGGGTTATTAAATTATATGTCGATACTCGAAGTAACCTGAAAAAAATACATATATATAAGAAAGAATTGATTCCTTTGTTAATATTTCTTGTTACATGCATACCGAAAGGATAAACAAATCATACCATCGTGATTTTGAGTTGTTGAGAAGTTTAAGGAGTACAGAAGAAATCACACGTAAATGACGCGTTAAATGTTCACCAATGCTAAATTATTAATTATTTAAATTAGAAAGAATATGATAAAATAAATTACTCAAATATATAATTACCTTAAAATTGCGGCTGAAAGAATTTTGTTACAATTCATTAATAATGATGGAATACCTAACATAAGTGTATAATATTCGTTTTTATCTTTGCTATTTGTAACCTGTTATTATAATAAAATAAGTAAATTAAAAAAAAAACGATTTTAAAAAATCTTTTATACATACAAATGAGACATCATATATATTATAAACTCTATATAATAAATCCAGAATTTGGTTCACAGGAATTTGTACAGGCAAAGAAGTTGGTAAACTACAAATCAAGAAAATAGCATTTCATATTAAAAAGTAAATATGGTAACTTAAAAACTACGCGCAAATTTGATATACCTTATCAAAGAAATAAGACATTCACTTAAACATTTAAATCTTGAGAATAATATTGGAAAAGCAACAACATAATCCTCTGATACTTGTGGCATCTCAAAACCAGTTAACTTCTTTGGCATGTCCTTTTCTAACGAACAAGAATTAATTTAGATATAAAATATGCCATCATTTTACCTATGAATAAAAAGTTCAAGATAAACACCTTCATCAATTGTATCAAATAACCTGTCCAAAATATTATTCAAAGACCCAACAAGTTTAAGTAGAGTTAATTTCCAATAATCCATATTTAATTTACCACCAAAATTGATTATTCGAGTAAAACATTCAATAGCCATTTTAGCTAGTTCTGATTCATAATAGTAAGTACCATCTAATAATATGTTTAAACATAATTTTTGTGTTTGCTCATTAACGGGACGAAATATTGTGGGAAAATTTTTTACCGAATGTGATAATGCATTTAATATTGTAGGTAATAATTCTTTATTTAATCCTGATAACTTAATTAAAAATGTATTAAACCGTGGTAATTGTTGTGTTGTTATTTCTCTTTGTAATTCCGGCCTATTTTGTGTTTTATTAAATAACTCTGTCAAGGTTGTTATTATTTCTTTTAATATGAACGTTGGTTCCGATTTCTAATGGCAAATAGGTTCTAATTCAGTATGATCCTTAATTCAATATGATCCAAACAAATAAATCATATACTTAACTGTAAGTAGAACCATTAATGACGTGGCCCAACTTTGCAAGTTTTGTATAAATAATTCTCCAGATTGTTTCAAAGAAATTTTAATAAAACAAATTCCTGCCCATCTTGCATTTGTTACTTTAGATTGTAATAAAGAATTTATTCGAGTGCACCATTTATGTAATGCTACTTGTTGTTCTCTGCTCGATTCGCTTTTACTACTTAAAAGCTGGTGTTGTGTAATCGTTTCTAATATAAATGGCACATATGTTTCTATTTTGTTATCATTGAATGTATAATTTGTTATTAGTGTTGTTAAAAATTTAGCTGACTCCATACTATTCATTTTGAAGTAAGAGAATTGTTCTATTAAAGCATTTTGATAAAATTTTTTGTTGATAAGATCGATATTACAATATTGTCCAATCAAATTATGTGATCGTTTTTACTAGAACAATAGGGCGCAGAATGACAAATCCTTTTTCTTTAAAGGAAGTACTGTACGCCTTCCAAAAATATTGAATCTTATGACCAACTATTATCTATTGTCACACATTTTCAAGTATTCCTAGTTTTATGATAATGACAAGAATCAATTTAAAAAAAGTCTTTCCCAAATTTGACTCCTGGACAATACACTATCACAACTGCGAACTATTTATAAAAGTGGCTTAGTCACTATTCCATTTACCTTTCGTATATTAGCCAATCGAACGCCGAAAATTGAATAACCTGTTGGTAAAGTTTTCTCCCTGAAATTTTTTTTTCCGCATATTCCGCCTTTTCGTCCGCCATAGTCTTAGTAGCAATAAAAAGAACAGAAAGCCACTATCATTTATTTTATATTAGTTCAGTGGTCTTTTTTTTTATTTCTGTTATAAACCTTTTTAACGTCCCTTTATTTTTGTTGTTTTCCTCCAGAAATCATAACAAAATAAAATAAAATAAAATAAAAACAAAATTTAAACAAGCTCATTTAGAATTAATAAGTAACCAAATATGAGCGATAATTCACCTTGCTTTCCTTTACCTAGGACTTTTCACCAACCAACTTTCCACCATCCTAATGGCAATTTACGCCCTATAAGAACTGCTTCTATTGATGGTGGTCATCACTCTCAAATCATTCACAGGTCGAGAATTTCGATTGCCGATGTGCCCAAAGGTAATTTGATTGATAGTTTCACTTTAAATAAATATTAGCATTTCAGTGTTAATATCTAATATCTCGCTTAATTTATATTGTTAATAGTCACAGGCAAACGAAAACCAGGTTACGACTCGGACGATTCTATGAGTGATAATAAAAGTCCTCCTAGCTCACCTAAATTTATGCATTCATATGATATGGAAAGAGACTATGCTACGGCTAAAAGAACAAAAATGAGTAGTGAAAGAGAGTTTCCTTTAAGTAAACTATTAGGTATGTTGCATTCTCATTAAGCTCCATTCTCGTAACTGTATGCTTTTCTAACCTTAGTTCCATTCCCCTTCGTTTTTTGAATAGCGACGCTTGATAAGCCTCAGTTATTATCATTAATAAATAATCTTATCGATTCTCACCCACATTTGCAATCAGAAATTGCGCTAAATATTCCTCGTCCAACAATTCATTCAGTGACTAATGTATTAAATAGTATGGAGAAAAAATATCAAGATAGTTTCCCTTACTCAAAATGGGGACAAGTTAAAGATGATTATAGTTTTAATAGGGTTAAACCTGCTATTATGGAATTGAAAGGAGCTATATTAGATTACGCCGCTCATTTTACTTCAACCGAAGAATTTCCTACTACAACATTTTCTTTTCTTCACTTGGCTACCTCTATTACACAGCGATTACCTGATTGGGAAAATCACTTACATAACGAAATTAAACGTGATCTATATATCAAATTAGCCGAATATTGGACGAAAGCTATCGTTGATGCTGCTAGTAAAGTTAGCGAAGGAAAAATATATGGTCAAATGGTTGTCAGTGAATGGGCTAGAAAGTGCGTATTCTCTTTTTTGTTAAGTTTTCGTTTCCCGAATTTGTTTTTTGTTCTAATGAAGATTTTTCTTTCTCAATTAACAGCCTGGCACAACACAATCGTGAATCAAATGGTATGTTTCAACATTCAATCAACGAATTTATTGACAAACTTGGATGGATCGCTGGTATTCAAGTTGGAACAAATCCTTCTTTAACGTCAAATCATTCATACCCTTTTTCCGGAAGTAATGGAGGAGCTCATCATCATCACTCTGTATTACCAGTTTAACACCGAACGTTTTTAATAAACATCGTATTTAGAAATTAGTTGGGATATAGGAAAAAAAAAGAAAAAAATTAATATATAAAAAAAAAATATTTCATGTACAATAATGTTATAAGTACATAGATGAACAAAATCTATCAGTGTGTTTGTTGTGCTTAGGATTTCTTTTTTTGTAAGTAGAGTAAGAGAAATACTCTTCTTTTTATCTTTTTTTTCTTGATCATTTTTTATAACAAAAGTCTTTTTTGAATTCACGTGAAAAAAATAACAAAAATATATATTCAGGTTTTATATATTTCATAAATTTTTTGTTGAATTTATACAATATTTTATAAATATAGAAAGTTCTTTTGATTGATATAAAACTGTATCATGAAAAATTAATAGCATTATATGTCCTAAATTTATGATTTATTTTATAAGATAAACCAATTCATAATCTTTTGTTAATAAATATAATAATACATAATTAAAAATCAAATCTTTAATATACTTTACCGTATAGCGCAGACTAAAAACCCCCTTTTTGGTATACCTCATTATAATATAATATGCGGTTACAATTTTGGTTGTTCCATATACTCACGGTATAATAACCAACGATCAGTCATGTGATTTTTCCTGGTCAACGAAAAGTCGAAAAATGTTCATTAACGTCCATGTAATATAATATTATGTAATAAAGTAATTATCCATATAATTATTTCGATGCGCATTTACGCAATGTGGGCAATAATCTAATCGATATATAGCGCAGTAATCATGTGATGGCGAGAATAATCTTTAGAGATAATGCTTTGGATTAGTGTGCTATACAGATTTGAAGTAGCATCACTGCTACGCCTTTATTTTTGACGGTATAATCAAAATTATCATAAAACAATTAGTTATATTGTGAAACTGTATTAGTAATAAACTCCAATGCATACACGTGTAAGAAATTCTATTTTTTCGTTGACATCAATCAATGTATTAAAATTTTAAGTGACGATGCAGAAATGATAATTGGCATCTTTATTATAGCTCATATAATAACGGACTGAATCAATGACTTCAAATTTGCGATCCTTTGCTACTTTAAGCTTTTGCACAGCACCTAATGGCTTGGCTAATTCTTCTCGGAAGCAAAACATGGCTCCGAGGAGATCATAAATCGTTGATATAGGCATATTATTCTCTACACAAAAGAAGAATGAAATAAATGTATGAAATCAATTAGAAAAGTGCACAACTCGATACTTACTCTTCGGTGGTTTCTTTACTATGTGTGTGAAATAGGTTCATCTTGAGTTTCATCTTGAGTTTCACATTGAAGTTTGACGATCGGATCATTTCTATTCAGGGCCTGAAGTAGAATATATTTTAAGCGAGGATCTCAGAGAAAGTGTTATGCGACAATACACAAAAGCCTGGGATCAGAGTTCTTTCTATTGAAAAGGAAAATTGAGGAAGAATAAAAATCAGAATCTGAAAGCAAAAAAGGGTAAAATAACAAGGGACTCCAGGGTAGAGGTTGGTCCAGAGTCCCATGAAAGATTGGGGCGAAAGACAGAGGACTCTATCACAAGGTGAAGACAGAGGATCGCTGTGACTCTCATCTTTCCCGCTGAAATTGCTCTCTGACAGAGGATCATTTCCTAAATTCCAAAGACAGAGAATGAACGCAGAGGGAGCATACCAACTTCTACTCAGCCCTGTATAAGAAACGCAGAATACGTTACCTTATAACTATCAACACTATTTTTCGCTAGCCTTTGAATCCGTTTGGAAGAATGCCTCGAGGTAATGATATCGAACCATGTTCTGTGTGTAATCTGTTTTTCGGTACAAAAATATTCGAGAAGACGATTTTGCACGTTAAGTTTTCCATTTTTTCAGACTCTTCAAACTTTTTTCGAAATTCTTTATCACATTCTACCAAGTTCTAGATTATTATATAGGATGGTATTATTATAAGAAGAGTCATAGAGTACTAAATATAACAAAACTCATTAATGATGAAGTCATTTATAAAAATTACGACCTTTAAATTAAGGATCTATAATTAATAATTCCGGAATTTTTCCGCAGCAGATTTCCGGAATATTACTTCAATTGCCGGAAATTTTATTTAAAATTCATAATTCAGGTAGGAGCATAATAGCAAGATGGCAGGAACAACGACCTATGGCAATTTCCGATTTGGGTACTTTTATATTTTGAGTTTACGAAATAACGCGCTATAACCATGCTTTATTTATTATTAATTAATTATTAGGCCTTCAAAGAATTACTGCACCTTACATTACATAAGCGTGAATCATAATCCAGTTAATCTGCAATGATCTACGCTTCATATTAGAATTCGACTTATATATATAATATAAAAGAAAATATAAAAGAAGCTATTGCTAAAACGAGAAATTCTAATTGGTTAAAAGTAATTTTACAATTACAAGAATTTTAATTAAAAAAGATTGTTTTTTTATTTTAAAATTTAAATTCTTAATATTCAAACTGCTAATAAGACTTGATGATAAAATAATTCTAAGAAGAGAATACATATATTCATTAAATTAAACTGAAATTTGAATTGAAGAACTATATAATTTTTAATACAATAAACAAATTGTGGATTCACTTTGTATTATAAGTAATATACTTGTTTTATAATGGATTCCTATATCAAATATATTAAATTTTTTTTTATTTAGATAAAGAAAAATTATATGAAATTTTCTGTAATAAATTAGGCCAAATTGAATTTTGCTTGTATATACCAAATATATAGGTATTTTTTTAAATTTTATTGATTTTATCAAATTTCTTTCTTTTTATTTAATTATAAATGATTTTTATAATGTAATTTATTATTTTTCATTTAAACTTACTACTTAATATATACATTATTTGGATCATATTTTAAAGTATATCCATTGTAAAAGCTAATCAAGATAATTAAATTTTTTTTATTTTAAAATACTTTATTTATTTTTATATAAAGAGAAAAATACAAATTATAGACATTTATATCAAGTATTACCTTTGCAGCAACTATTCTATCTTTAAATGTACACATTATCATTTACTAGTAGTGTAGTACTAAAGAGTCCTAAATATTTTGATTAACAAAATATTTGTTTAAATTGGATATGGCAATAGTTTATATTCAGTCTCAAAATTAATTTGTAAATAGCACGTGACGAACATGATTTGTCATTATTCTTAGTGTAAGGTGGATGCTCGATTTTTCGATGTAAGCCACAAATTAGTGATACATTCAATGTACTAAGTTTATTTTTTTTCTTGATCAAAAGAAAATCTTTTTAAGACCAAACTAGAACAATACGTTCTCATAAAAATAATAAAAATTTAGGGTTTCGTTATAGTAACGTTAAAAAGTAGTGAGTTTTGTGTTCAGAGTATTAGGAAAACCAGTGGTATATTTATTATTCCGAACATTAATAGTAAACAGATATCGGTTCTGACAAACCATTGGTTGGTAAGTATTTTCTTTTATAATTTAACTATTCCTTAATTTGCTTTTTGCATCGTCGTCATACAATAAAAAGTAACTTACGTATCAGTGCCTTTATGTTTACCATTTTTTTTTGTAAAAAGTATTTGAAGTTTCATGATGCAACAACATGACGAAGTTCAAGTTGAGGGAGGATTAGAACATGAGGAAGGAGAACTTCCCCACGAAGAACCATCAGATATTTCAAATGAAAATGACGGATCTGCCTCAAACAATAACATTGATACCAACATTGGTGAAGTAAGCGAAGTTGCTTCTGTAGGTATTCAACAACGACGAAGCGATATACCACTTTGTCGATTTTTTGCACGTGGAATTTGTCGTTATGGAGAAAATTGTAGATATTCTCATGATGATCAATCACAACAAAATGGACAGGGACAAGGCCAAGAATATCAAAATGGAGTTGAGGAAATATTATCAAACGGAAACAGGAATAACAACGATGCACACAAATTTGGAGTGTTAACTCATCCTAGAAGTTCAACTCCTTGTAGATTTTTCGCAAAAGGTTTTTGTCGTTACGGAGATGATTGTAAATTCTCACATAATGGTAATAATAATAGATTTCAATCTAATGGTCTTGTAATTCCGAATGGTGGTATCGTTCATCCTCCTCCTCATTACCAGCAACAATCATATGGTGATTGGAGTAGCTATCCTCCGGATGGTGACAATAATGTTACAAAAACTTGGGACGAAGATTCTCAAGAACCTATGCAAACATCTTATTATTAACATATTTCAGCATTATTACTTTAGCATTTGATTTGATTCATTTAGCGTCACTTGGCTTATTTAGCAATCAATTTCTTCAGTAATTAAATACATATTTGTTTATTGAATTATTTTTCATATATTTTATATTTATAATATTTCTTTTCATTTGTGAGCACGATTTTTGTATATATACTTCTTTTATTTTCTTAAAATCCTTGTATATACATTTTTATGCCCACTCCCCTTTTAACAATTTCATTTATCATTTATTATTATTTTAGTTTATTATTTAGGAATTTGAAACTTAATATATGAAGAAAAAATTATATAGTTTAAAGAATTAAAGAATATAGGAAAAAAATTCATAAAAACAAAAAATTATAATATGTAGATACAAAATAAGAGGACATTACAATTTTTTTATTCTTTATATTAACTATTAATAGCTTTTTTTGTTTTTTATTGATACCATTTATGAAAAAAAGAAATAATAAATGAAGATTATATCTGAAAGACTTCAAAATTATATGTAAGTATACGCGTAAAAATTTGAAATGACCAACTATTATTATTCACTCCAATTGAGGGCATCAAGTAGAAAGATGTATGATAAACATAGAACCTAAATCATTAAGTTGCAAGAAGATCTTACTATAATGAAAGACAAGAAAGAAGAAGATATCACAATTCGCGAACAACTCTCTGCAAGCTACCAAAGTGGAATTGCAAGGGGTGGAGACTGTGCCACAAGTTGCTAGTAACCAAAACAAAACGTCTTTGTAATCACGTGCAACCAATCATTCTTTTTTATAAATGCGCAACCTAAGCAAAAATAAGAAACATTTCACAAAAAACTCACCTGAATTTAATAAATTCTGATAATTTAAATATTTGTGAACTTTACACATATCAATAATCGGAATTTCAGTTTCTTTATATATAAATATAAACTTCAAAAAAAGTTGACATCATATATGCTTCTTGATTTTCAAAAATTTACAATGTATTGTCCATAAATCAATGAAGATGTCAAATTCCCGTCAAAATTCTTCTTTTGATTCAAGAATCCTTTTCTTGGTGACGAAATCATTGTTGTTCATCACGTGATTAAACTGGAGCGTTATAGTGGAACCTTATTTGTTCATTGATTAATTTTCAAAAAATTCATGGAAATCACTTTTTGTATGAAAAAAGTAAGCATATACAGTATATAGTTGTCTGTATCACGAAATTACTATTTTTAATCCGTTTATTGTAAATTGCATTTATTCATACCGAGTCAAATGTAGTAGGAGAATTCAATGTTACATTAATTTAATGAGTATTCTAATATTTTAAATGGTTCAACTAGCAAAGAAAACCGAGTAATGGATAATAGTTATTCTTTGTATTTACACAGAATGAAACAATTAATACAAATGAAATAGATTTAATTGATTTGAAATCTGGTGAAGATTGAGGCGCAAACGATCAACATAGAACTAAATGAAGAGACAAGAGATCATACGAATGTATTTTAACTTTACTACTTTATGTATAATCTTTTAAGAGAAAATGAACATCCGTAACAAATTTCTTGCAGTTTAAAGAAGAGACACGCAATCTGGAAAAGATTATTTGTCAACAATATATCAGCAGAATTTTAGGGATCTCTAACAAAGGCAATTAAAAGTCTCTTAAATAAGGATTAAATTACATGGCTTGAAAATGTTCTTTGAAAAAAAGTTGGAATTCAAACTTCCAAATTCACATAATATATCAATCCATTTACCAAGGATCAATTATAAATTTCAAAGTGTTAGCTAATTACATCAACCCCATACTTATACCTTTCAGAACCAAAATAAAATGTGTACAGAGGAGTTTATATATTATTACTAAATATTAGTTCCAAAGGTATATGTCTATTTTTATATGTTAATAGGTATTGGTTTTTATGGGTATTTATAATGGGTAATTTATATAATGTGATTGTACAAAGGGTAACTATTGAAAGGCCAAGAAATGGATTATTAATTTATCTATTTTACTTAGGATTACCTGATACAAAAAGTTACAACTAAAATTATTTTTTAATTAGCAAATGACTTGATTTTTTTCTGTTGCCTTAATCATTTTGAGAGTTAAATGATTACATTATCATCAAGTATTTAGTTTACTTTTTGCCATTAATTTACAAATATCAAAATGTATTTTTTGGATTAAAAACAAATACTCATATTTAAATATTAACAGTTAACAGTAACTTACTTTTGTTATTTAATATAGAATAATAATTTATATATAATTAAAGCAATAATAAAGCCATGCTAAAGATAAAATCACAATTAAAGATAACAATATCCATACAATTCAAGTGAAGAATATATCATAAACAAAGGTAAAAAAGGTAGAAAAAGAAAATAAAACTTTGCTTTTATTTTCCAAATCTTCATATTCTAATGGGTTAATAAGTTAAATATAACAAGATTATAGTAATTTATTAAGTTAAAAATATATTAAAATAAGAGTCTAATTTATGAACAAAAGTCAAAATGATTATACAATACAACTAAACTCATAATAATACTTTCTTCCTGTTATATTACCTTCAGTTACCATCATTGATATAAAACTGAATCTTTTTCTTATATTTTCACCATATAATATTTTAAATGAGCGATCTGTATGTAATGTTAGAATATTAGCGTTTTTATAAAATAATTATACATAAATAATTATAAATGGCACAATAGCCATAAAATATAATAATGCCATTTGTTACAAGTATTACAAGTATAAATTAATGTTTTGTACGAACTAAATTACGTATAGTACTTTTGATTTTTGATCATGACTGGTATTTCTCCTAACATCAAAAAAGTTTGGACACATGACATACTGTAAAGCACAGTTAATTAGTATCTCATAATTGAAAGTTATTCATTTTTTTATTTAATTACGTCTTTCATTATGTAAATAGCTAAGAAAAATTACTGTTGGTAATATTTACTGGTATATATTTTATAGATAGGTTATCACTCCTGTCAACATATTAAATTTCCCGGGATGTGATTTTACCACCATCGGATGTGGAATTATAATTTTTATTCACTTCATAATATCCTTTAAAATATGAAGCAAGTTATAACTGTCAGTCATCGAAGGATTTTAGAACATTTTCATCATTACTTTGAATTTATAATAATAATAAATAAAAAAAGGTTTACACATAGTAATAAGCAAAAAACTTTGCGGTCCAATACTTTTGTATACCAGTTCCTCTTTTATTTGGTAACTTGAATATAATGCAATGTGGAATTACATATAAAAAAATCTTTCATACTAATATGAGGAAATTCATTAATCAAATGTTTCTTTTTTGTTAAATTATAACATTAAGAGATCAAAGAAAAATTATTTTCATAATTATTTGATTTTCAAATTTGACATTTTATTTGCCAACGGACTATCCATGTAATCTTCTTTTATGTCGTCTTTAAATAGTCTTCTTCTAGTTGAAGATAATGATGACGATTTAATTGGTGTAACACGAGGACTCGAAGTACGAGATGTTGATTTAGACGGTGTAGATTCTGGAGTTTGTGAACCAGCTGAAGCTCCAGATGAATCTTCATCTCTAAGAAAGAGATTAAGCTTTTCATCGGTTACTTCAAGGTGACTTTTCTGTTCACTTACTTCTAATGCGCTTAAACGCAAGATAAATTCTAGAAGACTCAGAGTTTTCATACTATTCTCAATAGTCTCATTAGATTCGTCTTGGCCCTCGGAAACCTCTAAAATCTCCTTTCTATTATTAGTAATATCATGAGTCTTTTGGATTTCTGTTCCTTCAGTATTAGTAGTATTGTTCCTAGTAACCTTATTTGCTTCATTTTCTGATTCATCACTTATAGTTGAATCTTCATCTTTTTCAGGGCTTGGAGGTAGAGGTATTTTTCTTGGTGAAGGGGTTGAAAGATATTCTGGCTCGCTAGGAGTAGGAGTTAAAGGTAAAGCTATTTTTCGTGGTGAGGGTGTTTCTGGCTCACCAGGCGTTATGGGTGAAAGCGCTTTTTTCGGCGAGTGAGTCTCTTCTTCCACTTCTTCTTCTTCCTCTTCTTCGTCACTACTATAGATCTCCTCTTCTTCATTTTCCTCTAACTCTTGATCATTTGTATTTGGAATGTCATCTGATTCTTGAAATAATTCTAATGCATAAAATTCTGCGTTCATTTGATACTTCGAATCTTTTTTACGTTTCTCCGGAGTAACCACTAATGGATTAGAATCTGTATCCTTTGCATTCATTATTCCTTCTTTAATTATTCGGGATTTAGATAAACCTTTTATAATTTTAAGTACCAAAACTGGCGACCTTGACTCTTCAATGTTTAACAAACTTCCAGAAGATGTATAATATAAACGAGAAATATCACTCACTGGAATACGAAGAACTTTTCCTGGGATGGTTTCATTTGGTTTACCTAGCTTAGATGTGGTTTCTTTTTGCTTTGCTAAATCTTCCGTATCAAATTCTTCATGATACCTTCCATCGTTTAAATCTTCTATTAAAACCAACTCATATATAAACTCTTTACTTTTCTTTTTCTTCTTTCCCTCAATTTCGCGTACTCTATTTAAACTAGCGTTACATTTTGTAAATTCTTCTTTCCAAGTGAAATCTTTAATAGATTTCGGTCTCACTGAAGCTGTAAACATGTAATATAATTTCAGCTTATATGTAGGTCCAACACGTATTTGTTCATCTTTACTATTAGCAAATTTCCTGTTAGCTTCGGATAATAAATTAGAAGATTGTAAGAATCTTGAAGGGCTAACAGAATTTGGCAAACTCCAATTTAAATTAGCTCCGCTTGTTGTCATTATAAGATTGAGATATGGAACAAATCTTTCAATCTTTTGTATTAGTAGTTCAATCTCTTTTATTAAATTTTCGTTATATGAAGTAACTTCTTGTAAGGACAATCTTTCTGAACTTTGATTTAATTGAGGGTCAAGTTTCTTTCCAACTGACACAATTTCTTTTTGCAATTGTTTTGCGTGCTCAACCGTCGATTGTAGCGTAGTATTGCCACGTGCTGAAATGATTTCTATTAGTTCGATTGCTGGTAATACCATACGAATACTAAGTCCTAAATTCTGAGTTCAAAAAAAATACCACTGAGATATCTATTAATATTACATAAATCGAACGAATTATTTAATATTAACCTCTTTTGCACGCCTTAGCTCTTCCTCATTAGCGGTGATTAAAGAAACAACTTTGCTTTTCTCTTCCTTGGAAGTGGAGGAAGAAGTATCCTTTCGCATGTAAGTTGTAACTCTGCTCGCCATGTTATTAGTCACGTTGGTCGCGACTTGTCTCTTAATAGTTAATAATAAAAGGTTTAATTTAATAATAATTGTTCTATTCGATATAAATTAAAAGAAAACACGCACCAGAACATAATTCATAGAATGAGAGAACGCAGCTTTGCCAACCTAATTATATATTGTATCAGTATATCAACAAAAAAAGAAAAAAATTATATTCTATAAGCTTTAAAAAGTAATTTCTTACAAAGGTCACAGTACTTAATGCAGCACCCGCAATGAGTTCGTCCATATTGTTAAAACGTTTAAAGAAGAGAGAATTGAATTCGTGATTTGGAATTCCAGGAGGTAAATTACCTCATTCAGCTGACGGTTGCTTCCGAACCCTTCAGAAATTCCGAACCGCGTGTATTCTAATTTCATAAATAATCCTGATAATTCTGGCTCCATGACTGGCTCCATGACGATCTTCCTGACGCGTGTAGCAGTTTATTTATTATCAACGGGATGATGTCGGTACTTCTTCTTTTCTTTATCCTATTATTCTTATTAATGTTAACTTCTATAACTTTTATTTATTATTTAGAAACTTGTAGTAGAAATGTCGGGAACGTTTGAAGAAAGTCTACAAAAGCTTAAGCAGCTTTTTCCAGATGCTAAAGAGCAAAGTTTAATAGTCGCGCTTAAACTTAGTAATGTGCAAATAGAAAAAGCCTCGAATATTTATCTGGAACAAAAAGAAGGACGCATCAATAAAAATAAAAGTTTTTTACATTTGAAACAACCGAAGTTAGATTCTTTTATTAAAAAAAAACAAGCAGAAAATGAGAATTCTGAAAAAATTGATAGTGGCTCTTCTAAAAAGAGAAAATTTGATGAATTAAATGAGGCGGCAGTTAATAAACAAAATAATTCATCTAATAAAAAATTGTTAAATTTACAAGAAGTTTTAAAATGGCCACTAAAATCTTTAACGGTTAAAAAAAGAACCCAAACACAAACATTATACTTGTATCGACAGGAGGACATTTCGGCGAGAACTCCATGTATGCTCATTCACAATGTGTTACCGAAAGAATTGGCAAACTCCCTATTACGAATAATGTTGAAGGAAAGTGAAACTTTTACACGTAACCAAGGGTTTTTATTTGGAAATTTAGTTACTTCACCTCATACAAGTCAATATTATATATCAAATGAAATGAAAACAAGAAGTTCCAATAATGCTCGCTATTTCCCGCCGGAAATGGAGCAAGCGAAAACCATTATAATGAATATAGTCAATGAACAAAGAAAGGAAAGGAAAATGTAAGTATAGAGGATCGCAAATGACTTTTTTTTTCTTTAACTAATGTTCATACTTGTTATAAGTTATGAATATGAAGTGCAAGGAGATTGGAGTCCAAACATTGCAGCAGTGAATTGTTATGCGAATTCAAAAGGTAATTTTAAAACACGCTGAATTATTTACGTATGTTTATTTTCTATTGTTAACCTTAGTTGATCTATATAGAGGCTGTTAATTGGCATAGTGACAGAGTAATTATATTTCTAAAAATTATCTATCTCATAATTTATGTATAATCTTAATCATTAATTTTATTTGTGCTAGTTAACTCATCTTGGTCCTCTGCCTATTATCGGGTCACTTTCTTTGGGAGTTACCCGCCAGTTTCGTCTTCGTCGATTTGGTAATGGAGAATCAAATTCAACGAATGCAACACAAAAAACATCACCATCTACAATTTATTCAATTCCACTTGAACACAATTCGCTAATAATCATGTGGCCCCCTTGCCAAGAACTCTGGAAACACGAAGTGTGTCCTCAGAATTCTATCGACAAACATCCAATAGCAGGTTTTAAACGTATAAATATCACGTTTCGTCAATTTCGGGATGAATATGGAAGTGAGATGACTCCCATCTGTCATCATGGTGAGCTATGTATGCTTAAACCTGTGTTCAATGGGCGTAATGTGGGACGCTACTTTTATTCTTGTAATGCCGGTGGTCCGGAAGGAAAATGTGATTTTTTTGAGTGGTTGAATATCGACAAAAGAAAAGAAGAGGTTGAGAAGTTGAGAATGTTGGAAACAAAGGATAAATGATAATATACATTAAACATATATCGTAGAAAAAATTTCAGAAACATTTAAGATTATATAACTTATAAAGAGAATAGAATAGAAGAAAATAGAAATCTTCAAAAAAAAATTATTTATCATGTAGAGTACATATATATACACTAATAAAATATTTGCTGAAATTAATGATATAAACTATTTAGATATACAGTATATACAGTATTTACCATCTTCTTACATGTTTGCAGTTACGAGGTTAGATCTAATTCCAATGTCTAATAAAAATTATTTTGCACATAAAATAATATATGCTGAAAATTTATAATTTTTAACTACTACTGTTCCATTTAGTGTTCCAATGGAATACTTCCAATATTTCCACTTTACTACTTGCATTTGTAAAACATTTTTCATTATACTTATCATTATTTGTCACAAAATTTACTCAATTTATTCACGCGACTACAAGTGCTGAGCTACTTAGTACCGTAATATTAAGGTTCTAATAATAATTTACCCGATGTTTTTCTTTCTTCCAAATCTATATGAGCCTGTTTAGCTTCGCTTAATTTGTATACTTTCCAAATTTTAATTTTTAAATTTCCTTTTGCTACCATTTCCAATATCTCGGCAGTATATTTTTGAAATTCTTCCTTTGTTGTGAGATAATTAAATAAAGAAGGCCTCATTAACTTTAAATTTTTTTCGGCCAACCTTGAAATTGTGAAAGGTGGCACAGTACCACTAGCATTTCCAAACGAAATTACAGATCCAAGTCTTCGTGCACAAGCTAAAGACGTTTCCCAAGTACTAGCACCTACACCATCATAAACTACATGAGCTCCAAGATTATTTGTGAGTCGCTGAACTTCTTCAGTCACGTTTTCATGAGAGTAATTAATTACATGATCTGCTCCAGCAGTTTTTACTATTTTTGCTTTTTCCGGAGTTGAGACGGTTCCAATTACATTTGCACCAAGTCGTTTAGAAAGTTGCGTAAGAAGAAGACCTACTCCTCCAGCGGCTGCATGGATAAGAACCCAATCTTTCTGTTGCACGGAATAAGATTGCGAAACTAAAGTCCATGCAGTCAAACCCTTTAAAAGTAAAGAGCATAGTCAACAACATTATGGAATTTGAACCTCAATTTAGTAAAATTAAAAAGGACTCTATACCTGGAGAAGAGAAGCAGCACCCGATTTAAAATCGACTCCCTCTGGTAATTTAGCAACGTATTTTGCGTTGGCAGTCGTATATTCCGCGTAACTTGGCGCACCGAAATAGACAACATGATCACCAGGACAAATATCTTTTACACCTTCGCCCACGGACTCTACAATTCCAGCGCCTTCTCTGCCGATGACTGTAGGAAGGGCTAGTTTATAAAGGCCTGATCTGGATTTCGTTAAATTTTGATAAAATGAAATTTACTTTTTTTAACTAATTTTTTTTCTTTTTTTTCTTAATTAAAATAAAATAATTACCTATGATAAGTATCAATATAATTGACCCCAATTGCAAGATTCTTTACGAGGACGTCTTCAGTTCCTGTTATGCCGGGACGCGGGATTTCTGAATATTCTAAAACCTCGGGACCACCTGTTCTTGTAATATGAGCAGCTTTCATTAAATCAGTAGCTGACATAGTTGAGAGCGGGATCGTAAAAGAAATAGGTAAGGAAGATAAGCGTGAACTATGTGAAAGTAAATTATGACTTATTAAAGGGCAAAAAGTAGCGGAAGCGAGGCGAACAGGAATAGTCATTTATGACTAATCCGAATTGCCGATTCCAAATCTATCCTTCTATATAAATATTTATTTGGTAGTACACGTGTTGTGTGTAACTACTATAAAAATGGTTTAGCTAATCTCAAACGCGAATAAAACGCGTCTTAGTTCACAAGTCACAACTCAATATGTTAACACGTTCCTCAAAGAAAAAAAGTGCGGACTCTAGTTCTAAAAACTTCTCCCCTTCTGCACCTATCATTACATTTCCAGAACTTGATCGTGAAACACAGCCAAGAAAACGCGCTCGTATTAAAAATGATCCAATAACTTCAGAATCTACGTTAATTAACTTATCGCCAAACAATTCAAATAATTCCAGCAATACTAACAATTCTAATAATTCTAACGGAAATACTGTTTCCACAATTTCAGAGAAAAAGAAGGCTCCAAGATTAAGAATCGTAACAAGCGTTGGTCCACAAGAGCTGATATTTCGTAATTTTCGTCTTCGAAGAATTGTTAAAGAAAATCACGGTCATGACATCAATCAATTAGCATTCTTTTTCAATTTGAACCATTATTCTGCTCCGGTTGGTGCTCAGTACAAGAAAAAATTTAATAAACTTGGACATGTTGAAAGAAATGTTAAAGACACTAGTAACATTTTGGCCAGTGTTGGCGATATACAGGTAAAAATTTCAAATATTGGAATTTACATACAATATAAAATTTTTTAACATTATGTTCCTCAGGCGAATATTTATGACAATGAGCATTGCGGTGATCATTTGGATATTATGTCAAATTTCGTTGTGGGAGACAATATTAACTTGGAGTCAAGTGTAAGTAATTTGGAATTTATTTAATTTTTATCAAAGTACCTAAAAATAAACCGTGGGCAAATCAATTAACTTCTAAACATATATCTTAATGTAGGAATTAATGACATGTTGTTGGTTGCATCGAGATGGTGATGCATTACTTGCTTTGGGTGGAAAATCACGTGTCATATATATTGTCTCGATCGCACAATCCAGTACTTTGAGAACATTATGGGGACACACTGGTAAATTATCGTCTTTTTATGTTCATAATATAAGTAAATTAATAAACTATTTATAGATAGCGTTACGGATATTCAAAAGTATCCTAAAGATGATCTGCATATATTATCCGCTTCAAAAGACTCGACTGTACGACTGTGGCATGTCAATAGTGGACAATGTTTATACATATTTCAAACTAAAGCATCAGTGACAGTGAGTCCACAATTATATCAGAAAATTTACTTCATCATTTTTATTGTTAAACGAAATCTTCTGGTGTTTTATAGTGCTGGCATCCATCTGGTGAATCATTCTTGATCGGAAGTTATAATGGTGAGATTAGAATTTGGCAAACTCCAGATTTGATCACGCCACCAACAGAACCATTAAATATATCCGAAAATGACGTTGAAACACGAAGTAGAAAATGTAATTCAAGTCAAATAGGTTAAATACAATTTTTTCATCTTACTTTCCTGTTTGGACAAATAGCTTTGTAAAGATATTAAAAGTATTTTTCGATAGATTGCATACGATTTGCTAATCGAAATGTAATATCCAAATCTTTAAGTGGAAAGATTGAATATTGGAATTATGATAATTTGGAAGTAATAAAAACTTTTTCCATTAAAAATAATTCTCCCAGTAGGTCAAGATTTGATGTGAGGTAAACAAAGACAACATCTTATTTAAATATATTTTTTTTAATTATTCTAAATAAAAATTTTTTTAAAGTCTTGATGAAAAGTTTTTCTGTGTGGGTACAAGTAATGGAAGTGTTAACATCTATAACATCTTAAATGGGAGACTAATATCGGAACTTAGTCATCGTAGATCAACAAAGGCTGTTAGATGTTGTGTATTCTCCAGAGACTGCAAGTATGTGTAAAAAAAACAGTTATATATGTTAATATGAAATTAAAATTTGATATTCTTATTTTCTTACATATAGACAAGTAATTGCTGCAGGGGAAGACGGTTATATATGGAGATATGATTATATTAGTGATGAAACATTAGCAGAATGGGCAAAATGGAAATCGCAAAATTCAAATAATTCATCATAATTCAACTAAATAATTTCGTTTATTGAAATTAATATAGAAAAATAAAGATAAAATAATGAAAAATTAATTAATTAAATACTTAAATATGCACTGCATAACCATAATTTTTTTTTTTTTGCAATTTATAATTCTCCTTTATTTTATTGAGAAAATCTATCTTTTATATCTTTCCATTGTTTCTGTAAAAATGAAATTAAGTTTTAAAATTTAAATTTAATAATAAATAATAATAATATTATAATTATAAAAGTAAAATTTTAATTAAATTACATACGCCCTTATTAATTCTGTCCCACCATCTATCTGTAGCGGAATCAAAGGCCATTTCAAAAGCAAATGCTGATGCAAAGATTCCAAGCAAAAAAACGGAGTTTCTTCGAAAAAGTGTTCGGTATACACCTCGAGAATATCTAAATTTAAATTTGATAGAATTTCACATAAATAGCTCAAAAAGTATGCTAAAAAGTATGCCAAACGCTTACTTTTCTAGAGCGCTATTTCTAACGTCAGTCATTATGAAATATAAGGAATCTGCAAAGATAGAATAAAAAAAAATTTTTGATGAACCTGAATTTTAGTTTTCACGTGATCGCACTTACAGATTTTTATACAATTCTAAAGCATTAGTTAACAATCTTAACATTCGCGTATTTATTTTTCTTTTTTTTAGTTCTACTTTGTTGCTCCCTCATTAAGTAGTAAAAGGGCTTAACTTTTTGTCATGACAGAGGCTAATAGCGGAGGAAAACAAAAATTGGTTGTAGATCGTGAAAAGGTAAAGTCTCAAAACTCTAATAATTTGTTTTATACTTATTAAGTTATCTACATGTTTTTTTTTTGATTTTGTAGACGGTTCCATTTTTGTTACGAATGTTTTATCGATTGAATCATCATCACAGGTATATTTTTTTAAAAAAAATAAAAAATAAAAGAAAAAATTAAATTTAATTGTATAATTGACTAGATTTTTTTTTCTGTAAAGAGTCGACGATTTTACACCCGATCATTTACCTACCGAGGACGAAGTGCAAATATATACATGGTATAACTTAAGGCTTTGAGCTTTTTTCTTTTAATAAATGTTATTTTTCAGTATATATTTATAAAATACTTTATTATAAATCATATAGGAAGGATGCCACGTTGAAAGAAATTTCTAATTTAATTAAAGAAGTGGTTCCAGATGCTAATAGGCCAAACGCAAAATTGTCATTTAAATTAGTATACATTGATAACTTACGTGGTAAATATGCATTTAAAGAATTAGGTACAATTCATAATGTAACAACATCAGAACATGATGAAATAAACCTTGATGATGCTAGATTTGTTATTGGAGATTTTTTGGACGTGGCAATATTTTTTGGACCACCTCCCAGACCTATTGAAAGAAGAAGTAGTGTTTTAAGAGATAGAAACCGAGAAAGAGATAGAGGTGGAAGAAATTATCGTGGTATTGGCAATGACAGAGATCGTGATCGTGATAGGGAAAGAGATAGGGAAAGAGATCGGGTAGATCGGGACAGGGACAGGGATAGGGATAGGGATAGAAATGGAATGAGAATTGAGAGGGATAGAAGAGATGAACGAAGAGATAATAGAAGTTTTAGAGATAGAAGACGATGATTTATATATTGGAATTTTTGCGTCAATTAGTTCACTTGTAAATTTTTAATTTTTTTTCTTTGTGAAATAGACTTTAAAAATTCTTTACATTTATTTTTTTTTTTAATCCTTTTAACATAACTATCCTATTGCATTTTACTTTTGAGCTCTACTCCTTTTTTCTTAATATAAGCAGAGTCTTTCACTTAAAAATAAATTAGGTAATAATTATGAGATATGGCAAATAGTTGATAGATATATATAATCTATAATATTTTTCAAACGCATTGTGTATGCAAAAATTCAAAAATTGCAATTCAAAATTCACGAAAAAATGATTTTTTTATTAAGCTTTGTATATATATACATAACATGCTTTTAGTGTTTTATTTTCATATCTCCTCTTGTCTGGCCTCTACGGATGGCAGTTATATCCCATTTATACTATATATATAAAAAAAAAATTAATTTCATAATTATTAACTCCCTTTTAAATAAAAATGAATAACTTACATCTTCAACATAACAAAAAGTATATATGCCAAGTGGGATCGCAACGGAACAAATAAATCCTGTAACAATAGTTGCCCTTGTAAAACGAAAAGTTTGATGTAAATTATTACGCATTATACCCCATCTTTCAATTGCAGCATTTTTAATTAATGCTGAAAATTCGGAAATATTTTCATAATATATTTGTTATTTTATTTATTCAATTTAGAAGAAAAAATAGAACCAGTGAATAAAAATCTAAAAATGAGAAAAGAAATAAAAAAAAAATGAAATTGGTATTTTACAGTTATGATCTCCTGCCATGTTCTGTATTATATTGGATAAAACGAAAGAGGTATGAAATGCAATTGTTAGTTTCTTTGGTTTTTTTTATGAATCTGTTAACTGTGGCTAATGAGTGGCTTATTGTGGCTGATGGTCGAAGATTCAATTTCTGAAACAAGTTTTGTTTCAAAAATTTAAATCTCGTGTAGATGTCGTGTAGATGTAACAAGTTTAGTATAAAAAAATTCAGACCCTTGTTTTACTCGTTTCATATAATTAAAATTAGATTAATTTAGATTAAGAAAATTCTTTTTTTTTTTACAAAATTTACGTACAACATATCGTTTGGAAATTGTTCATTAAAAATTATATAAAATTTTTAAATGTATTTTTCAATTTTTTTGTAAAAGTAACAGTAGGTTTCTCCTCTGTCGTAGAAGGTATAGACATTCTATCATCATCATTATTTTCATCGTCATTACTACCCTTTTGAGTCATCCATAATTCTAATAATTGAGCTCCGATTCCAAATATACCTCCAACAATTCCAATAGTACTCAAAATAATAACACCATTTGTATCAACAATATATAAATAATTTTCAGGTTGATTAAAGCCCCAAAAGGTTTTAAATGACGCTAAAATTCCCGCACGTACAAATACATCTGTTCCCAACATTAGTGTATAACATCCTGACATTACTGTTGATATAATTGCGACATATTGATAATATTTCTTTATACTCGCTAACGATGCAATAAATATTGTCCATATTCCTATCCATATATACCTAATGAATTGCTTTGAAATTAATCCATCAGTTCGGGTTGATAAACAGATCATTGCGAACGAGAAACCGCCAAATGCTCCCACCAATACTCTGCCCGCTGGCCACAGACATATAAAAAATATTCCTGCCGCTGCACCAGCCACAGCACATATAACGAAATAAACAAATCTTGTTGTTGATGATGGATTCGTTACATTCTGATATTTTAAAATAAATAATAATAATATAATACCTATACCAAAAAAAAAGAAAAGCTTTATTAGAAGTTTCTTTAAACAAAAAGTTTTACTTTAAAAAAAAATAAGAATTCAATTAGATTAAATCCAAATAAATTGCGTTATTATAAAGATACTTCTGAAAATACATACTTGTTCCATAAAATGCGGCCAGAAATATTGATAACCATTTATTCTTATTTCCTCGAAATAAGCTTAATACACCCGATGCTATTAACGTTAATCCCGTTAAATAACTAGCAGCGTCTAATGGATAATCATTTCCTCTTACTATTGATTGAAATATGTGTTAATATCAATATTCTTATCTTAATAATTCAAAAAATTAAAAAAATTAAATTAAATTAATTAATAAATCACTGTTTTAACTTACTTTTATCAGCATATGGGTCTACATAAGTAGTATTTATTGGTGGTGGTGGTGGTAGAGGCAAATCCTCTCCTTCTCTTTCTATTCCCATATATACTCCTTCTCTCTCAATACCGGTACTACCACCTTGTGTTGTTTGTGGTCCATTGTTATTCGCTTGCGCTGTTACTGTCGCTATTGTAAATATACTAAACACTAATAATATTATTATAGTATTAAGTAAATAATTCTTTTTTTGAAATATTATACTTTTCATATTATTATTTTTCATTTTTAAAGTACTACTTTTAAAGGAATAAAATCATTAAAAGATTAAAATACTTTTTTTTTTTTTTGACAAAAAAAAGATTTCAGTAAAAAATTTCATTGAACATGGAAAGGAGTTGAAGTTCTAAATTTATTTGCATACTATCGTTTAAAAAAAAAAATCCAATGTTGGATAAATGATACAAACCAAACCAAATGCCGTCATACGTGATACGCGTTAATCATGAAAAAAGCGCGCGTCTTAATGAATTTTGTGTAATTTGTAACTTTAGTAACTTACGGACACGAAAAAATAATTTAAGTAATTTTCAAATCCACTTAACTTTTTTTGTCGATTTTTTTTTTCGAACAATAATTAGCATGAAATTAGATTTAGAAATGGTGTACTTTACACAGGCACAATTACTCTATATGTCAAGTTTAATTAGTTTAATTAGTTTAGGTAATTGCTAATTTTATAATCTGATACTAAATAAAAATCAATTATAAATTAGGCAACACTTTCCTTTTTTTATTTGTGTTGCACTTATTTAGTTTGTAATGTACATTTTATTACCGACGGTTGTACACCTGTTTCAAAATTTTATACGACTACTTTTAAACATAATAGTTTACTTACTACTTTAGGATATGTACGTTAATCTTGCCAAAAATTAATTTTCCGATTGAGAGAATTTTATTGGCTGCTACATAAAAAGATTTATTGCAATATTGTATACAAAAGTAACGTTTCCCTAGATTACTCTCATAGTTCGATATAGTCTTGGGCTCAAAAGTCCATAACAACTTAGAACCAAATAAATTCTCAAAGTTAATACTGAAATCTTTTTAATATTTCAGCATCCAATGGAAAGTACAAAAAACTTTGCAGAATGATGACTAATGAAGAAAAAACCCTTTGTTTCAGAATTAAATGAAAAAAAAAAATATGATAATTTGTGAATCCCGATTTGAAATTTTAATGTTTAAAGAAATGTGACGTTGAACTCTTAACTCAACGTGTGTCGTCGAAAGTTACAAAATAAAATGGTTTCCTTAATTACATTATTGTTTCCTTTATTATCAAAAATATTTCTTTAATTTATTTATTTAAAAACGCCAACTTTATCGACTGATTATGAAACTTTAATTATATAAGATTTTTGATAGTCCTGGATCATATCAAGATCTCTCCTGATTCTTCCACATGAATAAAGCGAATCTTGCGGTTACATAAGAACACTTTTTGCAAGTCCCATCTTTAAATAGTGGGGGAGTCCAATGTAAATTGAGCAAAAAAAAAGAAATCAAATTCCACATTTTAGTCGTAGGAAGAAGGTTTCTTTCTATCTCTAAGGATAGAAATATCAGACTAAGATTTCTGCAGATTACCGGATTATTAAGATAAGGAGATCACGTAATTGAGAAAATCTTCTTGGTTTATAAACTTTATTGGTAGATTTATTGCACTTCCGTATGGCATAATCCTCCCAGTTTCATGAATAAAAACTGCATGTTATTGCATACAATTCACATGTGTTTGTTCGTTGTACCATCTGCATATTTGTGATCATGTATTAGTTTCAAACGAATTCAGAAACAATGGAGAATTAGAAACTATCCAAAAAATTAAAATTAACTTTTTTTTTTAGTAGATTTGAATAATAACATTTTATAAAATGTTTGACATTATAATGATTTATCCAAATTTATTTATTACATTATCGAGGCGTAAAAATGAGCCTTTCTCGGATCCATTCACGGAAAATGGAAATAATTCCAAAATACGAAAAAAAATGAAATATAAAACACGGTCCTACTTTTTTTATAGGGCAAACCATTTTGTTTAAAATGAACACAATATTTATTATACATAGTGAATTTAATATTCTTTAATATCGAAAAAATTAAAAAAATCTTAACTGCCGTAAAATCATGCACCCAATTAGGCATTTGCACAACCAATAATTAATTTATTTCTGTTTCTGGGACATTTGAATGAAGGTATATTTTAATCGGAATTCAACTTGATGTTCAAGGAGAAAGAAATTCTCATAATTGATTAAAAGTTTTAAGGAATTAATTATAAAAAATTTTAAATAAGTTGATGAATCATATCATCAAATTGATCTGAATAGTTTAAAAGTTAATATAAAAAGAAAGAATCATTTAAATCCCAATAAAAACCTAATATTTATAAATTTAACAAATCACAATCAAAATCCTGAAACTGATGAATTACTGTTCCCAACACTTATTATCCTAATATCCCAATATTCATTATTATGAAACATTGTTTTTTTAAAAAATTTTTACAAAAAATATGATTTGCTTTTATTACATAATTAATATTTTTTATTAAAATTATCTAAACATCATTCAGAATAATATAAATTTTTTGCTATTTCTATTATGCAATTTTTAAATAGTATCTAATTGACTTAATATTTTTAATAGTAAATCCAAATTTTTTAATTAAAGATTAAAATTTTGATTTTATCAATTTTATTTAATTAAAAAATTTTACATTTTTGTAAGAAATTAAAAAATAAGAATAACTAAATTAATAAAAAAAATAAAAATTATTAAAATCAAAATTCAAAAATTTAAAATATTAAAAATAAAAATAACAATAAAAATAAATAAAATACAGAATTTTTTAAAAAAAAATAAATGAAATTTAACAAAATTTAGTAAATAAAAAAAAATAAAAATATTCAAAAAAAAATTACTAAAACTAAAAAAAAACTTGTAAAATCTTTTAAAAAAAAGTTAAAAATCCAAAAAATAAAAGAAAAGATATAAAATCAGTAAAAAAAAATAATAGAAAACAAAAAAATAAAATAATACTAGCCAAATATTAATATTTATTTTTACAAAAAATAACTGAAATTTTTTGAAAAAAAAAAATTAAAAAATAAATAATAATTAAATACCAACTTTTTTTTTTATAGAAAATAACTAAAACTTAAAAAAAAATTTTTATTTTTATAAAAAAAACTCCTAAAATCTAAAAAAAAATGCTAAAATTTAAAAATAAATATTACTATTTTTTAAGAAACTTAAAAAGAAATAAAAAACTATTAAACTTATTATATATTATTTAATAATAAAAAAAATTAAAATAAATAAATAAAATAACTATAAATAGTTTAAAAAAAAAAATAAAAAGTATATACAGTCAGACTTTTTTAATTGTACATTCTTTAAGATTAAAATAGTTTTTAAAAATAAAAAACCAATGGGAAAACTTTATACTAGTATAAAGTTTAAAGTTTAGCTATCTAGTACATAACTGTTACAACTTTCAGGAACTTGGTGGAAAAAAAAAACTTTGCAAAAGTAAAATTATCTTTGATGAAAACTTACTTCAAGTTAAGTTCAAGTTTTGAAAAAATTTAAGTCTAAAACAAAAACCAAAAGCACTCTACAACTACTCAAGTGAAAAAAACTAAGCTTTTTTTTAGCAACTTCCACTGGAAAAATGGCCAAGTGATCAGTAGATAAGAAATGTAATCAATTTTTTTTATAGGTTTTTGAACATACTAAATAGTTTATATTTAATTACAGTCAACTCTCTTTATAGTCACACATTTGGGACAGTCCATATTTGGTGATTATTTTACAAATGTATTGTACGTTTAGTGGCCACTACTTTCCGCACCCTCTATTGAAGGTTATGGAGATAGGTCGTTCGTATCCTCACTATCATTGAACCACCAGATGTCATCAAGGCCACCTTTTTAACCAAGACAACTTATCCAGCACGTCCATAATCAGGCATACCCCAGGGACCCGAAGGCCTTTGGATCAGAAGAACACCACCCTACTCGTCCTTTAATCCGTTGCATGATACTGTAATGGCTACTATTATAAACCCCTCACCACTACTACTGTCACGGAAGACTTTCGTCAGATAACCTTCAAACATCTAGACCCCTTCCATACCACCATATTAGGTACTAGGTCTCACTCAAAGGCCA